GAATATAGAAAATAGTTGTAAAGGCTATATTGCCACGTGTGGCTGTGTGAAGATGGTAGATTTATAAGGGAGTTACAGGTAGACATCCAACCCGGCGATATACATAATCAAGGCACACATGCGGGCTGTACATTTTACCCACCTTTTAACTCGCATCATTCTCAGAATCATGATTTAAGATAAACCCACACTTGGAGCACATTATTTATGGTGAGAGAAAGAAAGTAAGGTTAATCCACCTTATGTCACAAAAGGGAAGGCGAAGCGAGGCCTCTCGGCATGCCTTCTATTTATATCCCAATACCCCATCCCATCGCTTTCCCCAGGCTTCGGCTATAGAGATCGGGCTCGGCCCGATTTGAGAATCTGGTCTGCAGATTCTGACGATCTGCAACATTCAAATAGGTCATCTTTGTTTCACAAAGGGTAACTGGTGTCCACGAGTACTTCGGCCCAGTTTCCAACTCTATAAACTGCCAGCATATAAAGTCATGGCGTCTGACACGAACAATACGCCTCTTTTCTCAGTATTATCTCTTCTTGAATAACAGACTTCTCGTATAGAAAGCATAACATGCCGCAATCATCTCGCCTACAAGACAAAGTAGCCATCGTCACTGGGTCCTCATCCGGCCTAGGACGAGCGATCGCAATTCGCTATGCCCAAGAGGGGGCGAAAGTGGTCTGCGCCGATCTGACACCCACTGCGCGATCCCAAGAAGAGGCTGAGATTACGACGCACGATTTGATTGTCAAAGATGGTAGACAGGCGACCTTTCTGCAGACCGATGTCGGGGATGCAACGCAGATAGAAAACTTGGTCCAAGTTGCTGTGAAGGAATACGGACGACTAGATATGTATGAAACCTCAATAATGAAGATCTGAAATAACCCCTCTGACGGTTTCCATTAGTCTGGTCAATAATGCTGGGATCAGCATCGAGGCACGGACGCCTGCTGTCCTGCATCTGACTGATGAGACCACCTGGGATATGACGATGCGTGTCAACGTCAAGTCTGTGTTCCTGGGTTGCAAGTATGCTCTTACTCAAATGCTGGTGCAAGAACCTCATTCTTCCGGAGACCGGGGCTGGATCATCAATATCTCTTCTATTATGGGTATGATTGGTGGGCCAGAGAACCGTGAGTTTTAGCCCCTCGATCTGTAGATCTGAGTGTTACTGATACTCGATCTAGCATCGTACTGTGCTTCAAAGGGTGCTGTCAGTAATCTCACGAGGCAGATGGCTCTAGATTACGCCCCTCATAACATTCATATCAATGCCATTTGTCCTGGCTGTAAGTCAATTGGTTCCAGACGGGCCAAACGTTCACTAACAAACATTCAGACACTCAAACCGCTATCTTCAAGGAGACAACTACTAACTCGACTCCTTGGGAAGACCTCAAAAGGCGCCATCCACTGAAAGGACCCGGAATGCCGGAGGATATTGCTCGAGTAGCTGTTGTGTTGGCAAGTGATGATGCCAGCTGGGTAACTGGAGTCTGTCTTCCAGTTGACGGGGGATATACTGCTCGTTAAATAGCTCGTTGTTAGTTGGTTGGCACTTTACTGTCTTCTAGCTCTTATACACGACGGTTGAAGAGCTCAATATCATCTCCCTGCGTTTGATATCACAAGCAAAACAACATAGCAAAATTAATAACTGTACAACAGGATGTAGGCACATAAAAGCTCACGCAACATATTCTGGGGACGCAGCCACCGCGCCTTTGGAGGGTGCGACACCTCTCAGGATTTGGGACTCAGCCCCATAAACACCCGATTTCGGATCTGTTTGTATCCGCCAATCAAAACCTAAACGGAATACCACCTGGATCGCACCTTCCAATCAAAATCACAGAAAGAAATAGGGTTTCCGTGATTGCCCAATAGAATCAAAGTGAACAGAGCCCACAGCAACCGACTGTCTCTCAAGGTTCCTTTTTGGGCAATATAATCGCCAGTTCTTCTCAGAGAGACAGGATCCCCATAAGATCTTCTCGACAAGAAATACTCCCACCATGCAGCTTTAGGTATGAAGAGGAGCAAGACTCTCACGATACACGTAGTTAGACAAGGCTTTGTTTAAATTTGGAGAATATTATGTAGACTAAGGGTAGCAGTTCTATGGTGCCTTTTGTCTGATACATAAAGTCTTGGACCAACACCAAATGATGCATCCTGGCTCTTTTTGTTAAGGGATAGTGCAACGGCCACTCTATCTGTAGTCCCTGGGGCATGATTCCATAACTAAGCAAAGGAATCACCCGCAATCCATCGGGCCAGAATGTCAAATGCTACATCACCGCGATTCTGAGGAAGCTATTATAACCATCAGCATCTGCTCGGATTAACATGTCTGAACCAATGAACTCACCATATGACCCGCCCCGTTAACTGTCACAAATGCAAACCGCGATGCCTCTGCCTGGCCCTCCAACTGCACCCGGACCTCCTTCGCGGTGCCGACCGTTTCATTGCGTCCTGCAACAACTGAAGTCCAAGGAAGCAGCGGCTTCGATGTAAACTCAGTCTGTCCCTTCCAGGCAAGCGAGTTCGCCCACCGGAGGTTTCCTGCCGTGTTGCAAGCCAAGTCAAGATTTCCTTGGTAGGCTAGGAAATGTACTCCATGAGAAAGCAGGAGAATAATATGGTCGGATGAAGACGTCATCCCCTCCGGTGTCGTTGCAAAGGCCTCAACCACCGCGCTGGACTCCAATTTGTACCCCCTGGCCCCTTCTGGTGGCGATAGGGCTTCCCGGACCACAGGGGAGTTCAGATACTGCTCAATGTAACCTGCTTCTTTATAGCAGACATCATCAATGTAGCACGGGGCAGTGACTGTTGATTTCTTTGCGTTAGAAAAGCGGCCAATTGGTAGTAGATAGGAAGATCTTACTGTCAAAGCGGTTACGGCCTCCCTTCTTGCTCTCATCCTCGTACAAACCGACAATTCCTTTGTAGCAAACGGCATATGCAGCCGTACAAATTGCAACGTCAGGACTTCTGGTGCAAGTATCGTACAGCTCCATGCATCGTGGCATATTAGTAGCTATCATATCGCACCGGGTCTGGTTAAACACGGGCGCGGAAACTCCAGGATTGGTTGTGCAAAGCGTCTCCCAGTACCCGAAGGTGATATCCTTGGATGACATGAAGCCATTACCTATCAGACACGACTTGAGGTTGATCTGGGGCTCTGAGGGATATTCCTGGTTGTGAGTCACAATCTCAACCCCGAGGTAGGGGATGTATTTGCCCTGGAGGTGTCAGTGGTGCGTACAAAGTGACAAGGGACAAGTCTTACTGCATAAGATTCCCCGGAGATATGGAAAGCCGAGTCGCGTTTGTGCGGGAAGACTTCAGATACAAATATTTGGAGAAAACGGTGCATGTCAACCGCGGCCTCGTGAGAATCGCGTGCGACCTCGTATCCCTCGTCAATATAGGACCAGCCCACATCGGCTGGCTGGTCGACGAAAAGTAACGAGGAGTTTCGAGACCAACCCCATGGGTTGTAAACGGTCCCATTCCCGTACTCGTTTACGAGACATGGACCGTTTTCTTCAAATAGGCCGATCATACTGGAGCCTCCGGGCCCACCGTTCATCCATAACGTTAGTGGGTCGGCGATGGGGTCATTTTGACTTTCGAAGTACCAGAAGAACAGGTGCTTCGGGCCAATATCTAGCCATCCTGTGTACTGCGCCGAGCCCGCGGCACAGATAGACTCATTTTGTTGTCGGATGCGTATCGAATGGGGTGAATTCTTACTTCGAAACGTGGTGAAGTCTGACGCCGAGGGCTCCGCTTGGAGCACAGTCTGCGAGGCATGGCCCACGCCGAATAGGGTAGCAAGCCAAAACTTCCACATTTCAGTGATGAATGAGACTTGTTCTGGAGACAAGGTCAACAATGGCAGAGTTGTTTATAAAGGCTATTGGTCAGCGTCACATTGAAAAAGTCGGAGTTCGGAGTTCGGACATCGGGCCTAGCCAATGTGATATGGCGAATCTGTTAGCGCTAAGAGGCTTCAAGCGTAATCTATTCTGCCAGGGAATATTCGCCTCAGAAAAAGCAAAGCAAAGCTTGTCCCCGCCATTCCTCGCATAGCTATTAACCAGCAGTTTACCCGCAAATTGTCCACAAACCATCTTGCTTGCTTTCTACCTATGACTCTCTGAGCTACCAATTCCTTGAATATCTCCAAATTCGGGCTTTGGGGGGAGTCATTTTATCACCTTTTCCCACACTAGTTGTGGGTAGGTAGGCACCAGGCATGTCGTCTAAAGAGAAAGGAGAAAGGAAGATAGAAAGATTGTTGGGGGGGGGGGGGGTTTATACCCCCAGCAAACGCACTTTCCCAGCATGGAACGTTCCGTTCTTTCCTACTTTGTATTTTGTTGCTATGTTAACAAGGTGCGGTGAATCCCTTTCTACAGCCACGGCAGGCAAATTTCAAGAGATTGCAGAGAATTAAAAGTCGAATTTTTAGTTCCCTCTGAGAATGGCTCCAATGAAAATTATCGACAAATCAAAGCACTTTGGGGGATAACAATTTTGGGGCTTGACGGGCAGCTTATTGTTAAAGATCAGCTCGCCTTCATGGTGACTTGGTTGAGGCTTGGAAAGAAGAAAATTAGTATGGGATAATCGATAATCTTCCAACGTTGAACCCGTGGGCTGTTACTGCTGAGCTGATAGTCATAGCCTCTATCTCCGTCCCTTCATCCAAATGCGGTTAGGGCGAGTCATCCATAGGTTGAACCAATAAGCACTGGTGGGATGCCCAATAGTACCCCATCTACTAACCGTATATGGTTAGTGTGTTGTCAGCATCAGCCGCATACGCCTGGGCACAAATATTACTCTCTCGCGGACTTAAGAATTCGGAATGGAGGAAAAAAACCAAAGGTATATAATAGACGGTCTCTCCTATTTTATCCTTAGGTCTCCACTCTTTACATCAATTCCAGCAGTTACAATAATTTACCAAATGCATCTTATTCTCACAGGGGCAACTGGGCTAGTCGGCTCTTCAGTGCTCGACGCCATGCTCAAAAACGCAGCAGTTTCTAAGATATCGATCCTGAGTCGAAGCCCCGTGCGAATGGCAGAAGACGCAAAAGATCCACGAGTACACATCATCACCCACAAAGACTTTGAATCATACAAGCCAGAGCTACTCGATCAATTGAAAGATGCGGATGGATGTGTTTGGGCCCTGGGGACAAGCCAGACCAATGTCACCAAAGAGTACGTGAGATTCCTTTCATACATAAATATCAAAACTAACAATTAATAGGGAATATGTCAAGATAACGAAGGACTATACACTGGCAGCTGCCAATGCGTTTTCCACAATCAAGCCATCAAATCACCCTTTCCGATTCATCCATGTATCTGGCGAAGGAGCCACTCAGACTCCTGGGCGATTCTCGCCGATCTTTGCAAGAGTAAAGGGGGACACTGAACACCTTCTCGGAACGCTATCAGAGCAAAAGCCGACCATTCGGATCGATAGCGTGAGGCCTGGATTCGTTGATTCGGCAACGCACGGTGCCATTAAACCATATATCCCGTCTTCTGGCCCAGTGAATGGAGTTGTCTCAAATTTTGTATTGGGTTTGCTTGCCCCGGGGATACGGTATTTCATGAGGTCGATGCATTCTCCAACGGAGCACCTGGGGTCATTCTTGACGGAAATGGCTATGGGACGCTATGAAGCAAAATTGCAGGGCCCGGGGGTATTCAGACTGGGAGGAGGTTATGTCGTTGAGAACTCTGGTATGCGGAGAATTTTGGGGCTGTGAGCGTTCAAGGGACTGTTATGATAGGAATGGCTCGATATGTATATACAACAATGTTTAATAAGATACTTTTCTGTTTTCAGTTCTGACTTATCCCCAATGACATAAAATAAATTGACTCAAGGGTGATTCTAATGCTAACTCACATCTTAGATAGCGGTGCCCAAGTAGTTTGAGAAAGCGTTGAGTTTAATAGCAGCACTCATGTTGTGTACTTGGCGAAATACATATCACATTTCCATTTTAACGCCTGCGGACCCTCTTCTCTAACTTCTCCTTATGATCGCATACCCTTTTTCCATCATAAAAGTGTGCATCAGCACCCAATGAAATCCCCTTTCAACCTTATAGATTCAGAGTTAGCATTCAAAGGACTCCTGGAAAGACTTTACAAGGCCACATAAGCGGTCGAATATTCTCATACAACAAACATATGTATATAGATCTGAAACAAGCGTGTATTGGTCGAAAGTTTCTCATTGACTATCTGTCAACTGTGGTGAAACCAGTACACTCTACCAATGAAAAAGAAAATGAGAATTTAATCCCTAATCACAACAAGAAGCCCGGATATTCCTGACTCGAAAAGTAATACGGACAAGCTCAAAGCAAGCCAAATGTCGTTTATAGACACGTTTGATGTCCTCTATTGAGCCCCATTTTGGACAGGAAAATGGACGAGACGCGTCACAACCTGTCAAGCATTCGGGATGATTTCCGCTCATCGGCGCGATATTGTTCTTTGTTACCACAACGTAGCACAACTTTTTGAAATTTTCATCCAATCAACCCCCTGTTATCGGACATCAGATGTTTGGTCGGGGCTCACAGGACGCTGATCTCGCCCTGTAAACGTACCTCAATAAGTAACTCTTCTCATATGAATAAGTAAGCTCTAAAAGAAATATCCTAATGCTTATCGACGATATGCCACCAATTTTGCCTCCATCAGGAATATAAATAAAGAGATGCACTGCTGTTGTCTTGGGGCCGTCACGCCGCATTCTACTTTTCTTCTACACATGATGAAGTACTTCCAACTTGGCAACATCCTTGCTCTATGCAGCATGCTTCTGGCGACTGTAATTGCAGACGCGGCGTCCGTGCCCAATCCTGCATGCAAACAGCAGACAGGAGGAGGTCCCAGGAAACCGATTGCGCTGGACCCCTCGTGTTTATAAGGCCGGTGTCTCCATCAGAGCAGACAAGCTTGTGGGAAAGCATGTAAGTGCGGTCCTGACACTTTGATCCTAAAATATAAGCTCACTTGCCTCTCAGTTGTGCTTCTAAGCGTGTTTAATCAACTTGTCTGGTTGAACCATCCGCCTCGGTAGTTACATTCCCATTTGGAACGCATATTTGTTTCGGAAATGTTGGATTGTGACTTTTTGCTACATGTGGATTCCAATGTTCTGGATATTTTGTATTAGTCTATCATTTATGACCCAATTTCTCGGGACCTCACGCTCCTTTCTTTGATTACTCTGTGTGCGATGACTGGGATTCATTTCAATATCAGTTTTTCCTCGAGCCGGCGATAATTACATGTAGGATCGTGCTTATGATCTTTTCGAACTATTATGTTTTATGTATCTTCTTGATCGCCTAAATTTCCCCTTTTTGTAGAATCTAAGAGAAATGCTCAACAAAGAAAGTTATGTAGCCCTGGAGAATAAACGACATTTTCGCGGGACATGCCAGTTTTGGCCTGAATCCTAAGGCAGTAACTTCTGTTCACTTTTAAGATGGTTGACTACATATCCAGTCAGCTCTTTTATTTTTTTATTGAAAGTGATTAATGCACAGATTAAATAACCCCTGGATAACATCCAACTTCCGATGTCTGTCTCGGCCTTTCGGGTAAAGGGGTTCCGCAGTCCGGAGCCTAAAATGATCTCTTTCCATTTGATCGAATCAAAGTGATCGGGGAATTTACCTGTTTGGAAATCACAATATCCATCAAGCTTCATGATGTCTCAAGATGAATCGGATATCTCGACTACTACAGGCGCCCTGTGGCATTGAAACAATCATCCCCCCACACGGAGTCCCCACACGGAGTTGCAGGGGGCCTAGGTAAGGCTACGTGCATTCGTTCAGGGGAATCTGCACCCCTCACAGAAGCTGGTCTTGTGGCTATTTTCAGCCAGCGGCCTTTGCGTCAAGTCTGCAGAGCGTCCATTCCTAAAATGGAAATCATACAACTGCCAAGGAGCCAGAAACGCCACGCATTGGTGGAAGTATGGCTAAATTCACGGAGAACTGTTCAGGAACGGAGCACTGGCTAACTGTCAAATCTCCACCTTTCAGCATGCAGAGTTTCAGCATGAAGAAGCTAAAGTTCTCTCATATATATTCTACACTCATCTGCCCTCCATCATGTATTATGTGGCACGAGCAGTTTTCTCTACACTACACGCTGGACATGATGTTTTTCAAGTCCTTAGCCATTGTTTCGCTAGCCCTTTTGGCTAAGCAAGCATCCGCAGCCTTTGGAATTACCACTAGCACTGCTTCCTATGTAATCGATGCTGGCTCTTCAAACCCCCTCAAGTTTACTGTCAGCCGGACAAACTGTGACATTACTTCGATCAATTACTATGGATCCGAGCTTCAATACAAGTCGACTGGGTCTCATATCGGATCCGGTCTTGGTAGCGCAACTGTGACTGCAACTCAGAGTGGTGAGTTGAGAAACAACATGTCTGTTGGAAAATGCTGATCAATATAGGCGACTACATCAAGGTGACCTGCGCAACGTCCACCTTGACACATTACTATGTTGTCCACAATGGAGATTCAACTATCCACATGGCAACATACACAACTGCAGGTTCGTGTCCTTTGTGCTCAAGTGTAGTATGGATCTTAATGATTTTCTTTAGAACCGAGTATTGGAGAACTTCGATACATCGCGCGCCTGAATGCAGATCTGCTCCCTAATGAAGAGCCGTTCGGCGTTGTATCCAATATTGGAGGTGGCAGTGTTGTTGAGGGAGAGGATGTGGTAAGTGAAGCGTTCTTCAAGTGGAAAAAACAACAGCTAACACATATCAGTTCTTGGTTAGTGGACAAACACGAAGCAAATTCTACTCCAGCGAACGGTTTATCGATGACAAGATCCACTGTTAGAATACCCCTGTCTTGTTTTGTACAACTTAAATTAACACAAACAGGTGTCTCTGGAAGCGCACACCGCGTCTGCATGATCTTAAATCAATACGAGACATCGGCTGGCGGGCCTTTCCATCGGTAGGCTACTCGGCCGCCATCATTTGACCCAGGCTAATATGCACCAGTGATATCAACACCAACAACGTTGGCTCTTACATTGGCCTGTATTGGTACATGGTACGTGACCACTGTTGCTCAAACTAATAACGGTCTCTTACTCTATACAGAACTCCGGACACGTTCAAACTGAGACCTACCGCCAGGGCCTGCACGGCCCGTACTCGATGACCTTCAGCCGAAGCGGTACCCCCAGTTCCAACATTGACACATCGTTCTTTGCCGACCTCGATATCAAAGGATATGTCGCCACATCTGGCAGAGGATATGTTAAGGGTACTGCATCCGGGGCAGACTCGGCTTTCAAATGGGTGGTTCACTGGTATGTTCAATGCAAATCGTACTGGGATGAGTAAATAGCTAAAATCAAGACAGGTATAACTCGGCCGCACAGTACTGGACCTACGCTTCGTCCTCCGGCGCTTTCACCTCCCCTGCCATGAAGCCAGGCACTTACACCATGGTATACTACCAGGGTGAATATGTCGTTGCCAGCTCCTCAGTGACTGTTACTGCCGGATCAACCACATCGAAGAGTATCTCCGGGTCTGTGAAGACTGGGACTACAGTCTTCAAGATTGGAGATTGGGATGGGACGTATGTGCATCGATTTTGATCCATATAATTGTTCTGATATTGACGACCCTACAGACCAAACGGCTTCCTTAACGCTGCCAACCAGCTCCGCATGCATCCCTCCGATACCCGCATGTCTTCCTGGTCTCCAGCTACCTACACAGTCGGCACCTCCAAGGTGTCTTCTTTCCCCATGGCTCTCTTCAAATCGGTGAATTCACCTTTGACCATTAAATTCACGGCATCCTCTTCGCAGACCGGAGCTGCAACGTTGAGAATTGGCACGACTCTTTCCTTTGCGTCTGGTCGGCCCCAGGTTGTGGTATGTTCAACCCATATTCTCCATCTTCTGGGTCTTAGCAGTCATCTGACAGTTCTCATAGGTAAACAGCTATTCCGGTTCTATCCCGGCTGCCCCGACTAATCTCAACTCCCGTGGCGTGACTCGCGGCGCGTATAGAGGTTTTGGCGAGGTTTATGATGTTTCGATTCCGGCTGGAACTATCGTTGCTGGAACTAACACTGTAAGAATTTCTGAGCATAGTCTGCTGAGATGATGCTAACTTGATTTAGATCACCATCAGTGTTGCTTCTGGTAGCTCTGGAGAGACATACCTGAGTCCCAACTTTGTGAGTATCCTACTGATCCTCTCGTCTTTTCGATGGAAGCTTATCTACCTCAATAGATCTTTGACTGCGTGGAGCTCTTCCAGTGAATATCTGGGACAGACAAACAAGTTTTGGAACACAGCAAAGGAGCAGAACAGACCTTTTTCGAAATATCAAGAATGCCAATGGCCGTGTCTTGTCCAACGTCACTTAGCTTCCTGTAGTATTCAATGGCTATGCTCTTAAACAGTAATTATTGACCCCGAATACCAAAAAGGATGTCATAAATGTAAACTAGACTCTAGAAATGAGATATCACAAAATATGTACAGGAAATCTTAAACTCAAAGATACATAAACAACAGTCAACCTCAAGTGATACAGTCACCACTTACACCCTTGAATGAACCAATCTCCCCCCAACCCAGACAGCCTTCACGTTCCGATCATCGCCAGCCCAAACCCACTTCTGAATCTTCTCCTCCCAACTCTCCGTCCCGAACAAATCAACATTTCCCACAGGACCAGCCTTCACAAGATCCGCAGTACCATCAGTAACAACATTCAGCGGACTCTTATCCACTAACATAACCCCACCAAGGCGAATCAACTGCACATCCCACAACATCCCCATATCAAACCCACCAACATCACTCGCCATATCAACAACCGCCGCTCCACCACGCGTAGCAAGGTAAAGACTTTCAGAAACCGACAATTTCTCCCGTCCATCCGAGCCATTCCCATCCACGCCCGAAGGATTATCCCTTCGCCATGGAGCCGATTGACTCAGCAACCGCGAAGCAAGACAAGCCTGTCGCGCCGCCTCAAGAATACTAGGACTGTACCCACCGCTAACATCGGTCCCGAGACCAACCGTAATCCCTTCATCGAGCAGCGTCCTAACAGGACAAATCCCCGACCCCAGCACCGCGTTCGACGCGGGACAGTGCGAGATCTTAGCGTCGCGCGCACGGATCAGAGCCCGCTCATCCGCCGTGAGATGCACCGCATGCGCGAGGATCGTACGCGGCGTGAGGAGGTTGTATTTATCATAAACAGCAGCATAGCTATCCGCCTCCGGGAAAAGCTCCTTAACAAGCGCAAGCTCGTTGATATTCTCCGAGATGTGGGTCTGGATATGCAAAGGGGGCGAATAGCTAGCTGCCAAGTCGCCAAGACTCTGCAATGCGGGTCTCGTGCACGTGGGCGCGAAGCGGGGTGTGACGATCGGCTTGACGAGATTTCCTTTTGGGTCCAGGGTGTGGATGTACTCGATTGTCTGGCGGGTTGCGACGATAGAGTCTTCGGCGCTGGAATCGCGGTAGTAGTCTACGCAGAAGTCTGGGTTATCCATGCATACGCGGCCGATGAAGGCGCGTTGGCCGCGGATGTGGCATAGTGATGCTAGGGCGTTTGTGGCTGGGACGTGGGTTGTTGCGTAATAGGAGGCGCAGGTTGTGCCATGGGATAGAGTGCGGGAGATTACTTGGTCGTAAATTTGCTGGGCTAGGATGGGTGCTTCTTTGGGGTCGGTTGAGGTTTGGTGTCCCGTTTTTGGGTCTGGTGGTGACCCGAAGCGTGACTCTACTGGGAATGTGTAGGTCTCTAGCCAGTCCAGAAGTGTTGATGAGCCGAAGAGGCCCGCGTTGGGGTATTGCGGGGCATGGATGTGGGTGTCTGGATATGTAGTTAATATCGAGGCTTGGGGTTAGGAAAGTGGATTTGATGCATACCAATAAAACCAGGGAAGAAGAATTCATTTTGTTCCTCGCTTGCGGTGACAATCTTCACTCTGATCTTTGAACCATGACCATTGACTTGGCCCTGGGCCGCAACGGCATCGATATCAACCCACCCATTCCGATCCATCAATTCGGCGAATCCATTTTCATCACTAGCTTCCCAGTCCCAGCCTTTAATGCGGCCATCAGCAGCAGCGACCCACAAAGCGCCTTGATTGCGAGACAATTCAGGCTTGGATCCCGAGTCCGGCAGAATCGATTGAATGAATGTGCCGCGGTAGACAGTAAAGACATAGTCAAAACCATAGTCCGTTGTCGAGCCCATATTTCCGGTAAGATAGTCAAAAACGCCCACTATTGGCTTGATCAAGTTGAGCATGAATTTCTGCAGTGGTGTATAGCGGTTTCCGCAAAGAAACAGAGTCCGAAGTATCGATGTATATTATCGATGGAATCGTAGATCAGTCTCCACAGTGGAAATAAAAAGACCGAAGGATCAACTCAAAATCAACAAGGCGAGAAAAGAGGGTCAGACACACGGTTTATATATCTGTATTCTAGTTTCCTCTTCTGCCAAGCGATAGGTGATATTGCCCGGAACGCATAGGCCCCGAGCTGTGGAGAATTTCAAGGTAGGTTCTGATTCGAATGTTCAGGTTCCGGTGCATGAGGTGGGTTGTAGTGGATTGCAGCGTGTCGGTTGGTGATTAGGGCCAACGGCGGTTATTGGGAAGGGCGGGGGTCGGCCATCTCCGATGATGGTACATGGTAAATACGGTATTTGGAGCGGATGAGTTGTCCTGTGTTGGTGTAATTTATTGATCAATGGTTCTGTATGGTAACAAAGCACCGATAAGCCCGTGACTCAAAAGTTATACCTAGGTAAAGCCAGTCAAGATTGTAATAATTATTGTTACTTTTTATTCTTTAGATACTATCTTGAACTGGAATCGAATTGAATGTCTAGAATACTTTTGATTCTTTGAATTGTATTATTCTTGGCGTACTGGATGATTATGTTGAATCAATCCAGCCCTCGTAAGGACGTAGTCTGTAGGTAGTCTTTTTCTACCCTCATCAAAAATAAAAAATGTTGAATGTATACACAGAGAAGAGGTGAGCATCAGAAGATTGAGCTCCCTTATAAAGAAAAAAGCAATCAGCGCAGCATGGGTATCATAGATCTCTTTAGATCTGTCTATTCGGTGTCCTCGACAGGCCCGCAAGTGCAGAACAAGTTCTGGTCACCAAAGGCATCATCGACACGAGTCACTGTAGGCCAGAACTTCTTCTCCAAAAGCAAAGGCAAGGGGTAAGCAGCCTGCTCACGAGTGTAAGGGCGGTCCCACTCAGAGGTGAGCAGGTCGCGCTGAGTGTGCGGGGACATCTTCAGCACGTTACCCTCACGAGGCTGGGCACCAGACTCGACTTCGCTGATCTCCTTGCGGATGGAGATCAAGGCGTCACAGAAGCGGTCCAGCTCAGCCTTGTTCTCGGACTCGGTGGGCTCGATCATGAGGGTGTTGGCGACGGGCCAGGACATAGTAGGGGCGTGGAAGCCATAGTCCTGGAGACGCTTGGCGATATCGATGGCCTCAACACCGCAGGTCTCCTTGAAGGCGCGCACGTCGAGGATAAACTCGTGTGCGCATCGGCCGTGGTCGTTTGTGTAGAGAATCGGGTAGTAGGGCTTGAGGCGGGAGAGGATGTAGTTTGCGTTGAGCAGGGTGATCTTGGTGGCGTGGGTCAGACCACGGTCGCCCATCATGTTGATGTAGTTGAAGGTGATGGGCAAGATGCTGGCACTGCCCCAGGGAGCAGCGGAGATGGGAGGGGAGGAGGTGTCGCCACGCTTCGACTGCAAGTACTCGCTGGTAGGGTGCGAGGGCAGGAAGGGACGCAGGTGCTCGCCGACACCAATGGGTCCGACACCGGGACCACCGCCACCGTGGGGGATACAGAAGGTCTTGTGAAGGTTCAAGTGGCACACATCGGCGCCGATCTCACCAGGAGAGCAGAGACCGATCTGGGCGTTCATGTTGGCGCCGTCCATGTAGACCTGGCCACCGTGCTGGTGCACCAGGCGGCAGGCCTCCTTGGCACCGGGCTCGAACACACCGAAGGTGCTGGGGTAGGTGATCATGAACGCAGCCAACTCGTCCTTGTGCTTCTCGCACTTGGCCTTGAGGTCCTCAAGATCGAGGTTACCGGTCTTGGTGTCACACTTGATGGTCACAACGCGCATACCAGCCATGGCGGCACTAGCCGGGTTGGTACCGTGAGCAGAGACGGGGATCAAGCACAGGTTGCGCTTGGCATCGCCCTTGCCCTCAAAGTACTTCTTGATAACACGGAGACCGGCGAACTCACCCTGAGCACCCGAGTTGGGCTGCACAGTAACCTCGGCCATGCCAGTGATATCGGCTAGCTGCTGCTCCAGATCGTCAATCATCTTTGTGTAGCCCTTAGCCTGCTCGGCAGGCATGAAGGGGTGAATCTGGGAGAACTCGGGCCAGGAGACGGGGATCATTTCCGTGGTAGCGTTGAGCTTCATGGTGCAAGATCCGAGGGGAATCATGGAGTGGGCCAGGGAAAGATCCTTCGACTCAAGGTGGTGGATGTATCGGAGCATCTCAGTCTCGGAGTGGTAGGTGTTGAAGACTGGGTGGGTCAGGTAAGAAGAGGTACGCTCGAGGTTGGCGGGGACCGTGGCGAGACCAAGGGTGCCGTCAACCTCGACGGGAGAGGCAGACTTGTGAGCGGCAAAAACATTCAAAATTCCCTTCACCTCATCCCGGCCGACAGTCTCGTCCAGAGAGAGACCGACCTTGTTTCCACCCAGCCGGCGGAGGAAGACAGAGGCAGCGCGAGCTTCGGCCATGATGGCATCAGCCTCGGCAGCAGTGGGCAATTCAATGGCCAGAGTGTCAAAGACAGCGCCACCGTCAGCGCTGTTGGAGCGGAGCGGAACATTGTAGCCCAGGCCGACAAGCTTCTCGCGCAGCAGTGACGTCATGGACATGATACGCTGGGCAATGGACTTGAGCCCAACAGGGCCGTGGTAGATAGCGTACATGGCAGTCATGTTAGCAAGCAAAGCCTGAGCAGTGCAAATGTTGCTGGTAGCCTTCTCGCGGCGAATGTGCTGCTCGCGAGTCTGGAGAGCCAGACGCAGAGCCCGGTTACCGAGGCGGTCCTTGGACACACCAACGACACGACCAGGGACCTTGCGCTTGTACTTGTCGGCACAAGCGAAGAATGCGGCGTGGGGGCCACCGAAGCCCATGGGAACACCCAGACGCTGGGCACTTCCGAAGGCAATATCGGCACCAAATTCACCGGGGGCCTTGAGGACGGTCAAAGCCAGCAGGTCAGTGGCTACACTGAAAGTACCACCCTGACCGTGGATGGAGTCACCCAAAGCCTGGAAGTCGTAGATACCTCCCTCGGTATCGGGGTACTGAGCAAGAACACCAATCAGGTGGTCCTTCTGGTCCTTGACGATCTTGAAGTCATCGGCCAAGATATCTCCGATCACGAGGTTGATCCCGAATCCCTCGGCGCGGGACTGCATCACGGCAATAGTCTGGGGGTGGCAGAGGTGAGACACAACGAAGGACTTGTCGGCCTTCTTCTGCTTGGAAGCGGGCATTGTAGCGAAGGACATGGTCATGGCCTCGGCAGCGGCGGTGGCCTCATCCAAAACTGAGGCATTGGCGAAGGGCAGGCCAGTGAGATCAGCTGTGAGGGTCTGGAAGTTGAGCAGAGACTCAAGACGACCCTGGCTGATCTCGGGCTGGTAGGGTGTGTAGCTGGTGTACCAAGCAGGGTTCTCGAGAACATTGCGCTGGATAACTGGGGGGACAATGGTGGGGTAGTAGCCGGTTCCAATATAAGTCTTGCCGGAGATATCAATCTGCTTCCGGTAGGTGTCCAGCAGCTTGAGCATATCGGTTTCGCCCAAACCACCCTGCACACTGGAGCGGTACAAGCTGATATCGGCCTGGGGCTCGGTGACCTTGAGGTCCTTCTTGGAGAGAATGTCGGCAGGCAGGACCTGCTTCACGAAGTCGTCCAAGGATGCCACAGGCGGGTCGAGCACGGCGAGCATCTCTGCCGCGGCGTCCGGGGAGGGACCGATGTGGCGACGGGGGAAGGTATCGAGAGGCTGGAAGATATCCTGGGGGTGGGGATCTCCATGGTCGGAGATGGAGCTAGTATAGACACCACGACGGGGCACGGGCTGCGAGGTGTGCAATGGTCTCCGAGCATTCAATGGTGACAATGAAGCTCGGGCAATTGAGGGCACGCGAACACGCGACCGCAGAGCAAGCTGTCGGCCGCCGCGAAGGGCAAACAGTGATGCCGCCATACTGAGACCGGATAGAATGAGGGCTTTAGGGGAAAGCACTCAACACATCCACAAGGAAATCAGTAAATCAATGAGACAGGAGGATGAAGAAGACAAAAAGTGCCAGAACTGTAGAAATTAATATTTATTGCCCACGCCTCTTGCCTTTTCCCTGTCCGATCATCCGATGACGGAGAACATTTCGGGAAACCTACAGAGGCGATAAGAAACTTTCTTATCTGACCAATCACAGTTACCACCTTTTGCCATAGACCCCAGTTCGACCACTGACCGCCTTCCAGTCGGAGCAAATGGCCGGTTTCCCGTCGGAAAAGTTGCCTCTCGGTGCTGATCTACTCCACGAATTCTCCCCACCGAGGGGGAACGGGGGAAGCTCCGATGTTATAGCTTTCCTTGAGCTTCGATTTAAAATTATTGAAATTATTGAAAATGGAAAAGGCCTGCTTTCACATTACTATTTCGATCCATCTAGGATATGAATATATATACGTATATTCCCCCTCAAATCGTGTACCGGAAAGCCGCATCGCCCTCAATGACCCGCTTTCCCCGGTCCGCCTGCTTATTACAGTACCGGAACCACACACTCAAACTAAGGGCCAAGAAGATGATAAGAATATTACATCTGGTGGAACACAGTCAGTATATGAGCACAATGTGAAACAGGAGGAGAGACATACGCGATAGCAGCATACATTCCCGGTCGATAACCGGGTGCGTCCTGTTCCCGGAACACCAAACTACTCGCGATACCACCGAGACCTCCAAGGCCTACAAGGCTAGCACTGGAGAAAGCACGCGTCCATTGGCCGCGCACATTGTTCGCCTGGTATGCCATGCAAGATGGGATATTAGCATTAGCGCCGGCGACAGTGAAGAACACGCCCACGTAACGGACGGCGTCGCTCTTGGCGAATCCCATCATGGGCAGGCCAATGATGGCGAGCAAGGAGTTGAAAATGATAATCGGTGCGCGGATGCGATACTTGTCGCCAACCCAGGCCGTGGCGTACATGACAATTCCGGCGAACCCGTAGGGTGGCGCGACGAGGCATTGGGCTTCGCCGACGCCGTAGCCCATGCCGAGGCTGAGGATGATGGGGAGGAAGTAGGCAATGGCGTAAGTGACGGTGGTGATAGAGCTGAGATGCGGTTAGTGGGGATCGGGTCTGTTTGGAGAGTCAACGTACAAGAAGATCATGGCAAAGGCCCAGATCTTAGGATCCAATGCAGGTTTTAGGAACTTCTTAAGAGAAAAGGCTTCCAAGTCGCCATCATTTCTGTCTTTGTTAATGCGACGGACGATGAATGCGCATTCTCTCTCGTTGAGGAAGCGCCAGGACTTGTGTGCGCGGTCAGGGAAATCGACGAGGAAGAAAAAGCATAGGATGCCAATAACGCCGGTAATCTATGTTTATTGTTAGCTCTGTGGTTCTGTTTCGGCTGAACCAACTTTGCATACCACTCCCTCGAGGATGAAGATCCATCTCCAGCCGGACAGCCCTTCCCTGCCGTTCAATTGCATCAAACCAAATGCAAGGATACCCGCCAAGGCAGAAGCGACACATCCAATCAGATAGAAAATAGAGAATCGCTTTTGGACATCATCTTTGAAAGGTCAGCACTGTTCACTTAGAGAGATATTTTGGCCATTTCTCTTACATCGGGTATACCAGCAAGATAGCAAGTAAACGCAGCCAGGGAAGTAACCAGCTTCCAACACACCCAAAAGCACACGCGTTCCAACCAATGCGCCCCAGTCCTTCACGAATCCCATTCCCTATGCCAGTCAATAAACTAGAGTCTTAACGTTGACAGAAGAGGAAAGCCCTTACAATCATGATGCCCGCCCAGCATACAATAATCGAGGACAGGAAAAATGTCGGGCCAAGTTTTCGAATAATGACCGTCATCGGCGGCTGGAAGAGAATGTAGGGCACGAAGAACATCAGGACGACAATGGACTATTCAGAGTTAGCTATTCGCCTTGGAAATGTGACCCATGGTTTGAACATACATAGCGCTCGCCAATGTCCAGTCGCAATTCTTGTTTCAACCTATTGTAAGGGTCAGCCATTGCTGCGCAGGATTGTGCTACACTGTATTCTTACCCTGCAACGGCGGCCATGCTCAGATTCGTCCGATCCATGAGCGAAATGCAATAAGCCAATCCGGTCATAGTCACTAGACGCAGATCAATTCGTCGAAGAATCTTTTTCTGCTCCTGTGGTGTGAACTCCTCATCATCTTCCTCACTGATACGGCTTTCCCCCCGATATCCTCGATGCGGTGGTCAGCAGGCGGTTTCTCATCGATTGGGGCCATGGTTCCCATTTGATGTATCCGAGCTGTATTGGAGTGTATAATAGAAAGAGAAGATGTAGGTGAAAGTAAGAAGATCGTCAATGGGATCTGAGAAGAAGAAATGAATTCAATTGTGTTCGACCAGAAATAGTAGACAGAGCTGCAGCCTTATCTAGCAAACGACCAGACTAACAAGGATCCTAAACTATATATCCATGCATTCTCCAAGGAGGAATAAGCCCCGAAAGAAATGCAATCCATTCCTAAACCAGCCATTCAAGATCGACGCTCGCCTATTAGAACCCGCTCCAAACTGCCCAGGAAAATCTCCAAGAAACAAGACCGTCGAGAACGCAATAGCCGAGAGCAAGTGGTAAAGTGCCTCGGGACAAGCATGACTGCCGTAGACCAAAGACGCACGCAGCAATAATGTCCGAAACAAGTGAGGGGAGGTCACCCCACTTAGCAACAGGCTCTACGAGTAATCGTTTGCCTATTGAGTTAGTTAGGTTCGGTGGTGGCTGTTTCTGGGGACCATCTGGGGGGCGAAAGGGAGTAAATGCGGGGGAAGATACTTGGCAACTTGGCAAATGGCCCGTTGACTTCGTGATATACTTGGATTCCCCCCCTTTACGGTATTCAAGCCGATGATTAGAGACGTCACTTTGTGGGGTGATGATCTGTTCTATCTGCCAAGGTTGCTTAGTGTTTCTCAACTGATCCACGTACTTTGTAGGAAAATCTGCGAGACCCCCTTACTTTCTAAAATTCCAGTAGAGTAAGGACCTTATCTACTTGTCAGGTGGTTCAGTGCCACCTGGGCATAGTTTCGGCCAAGAGTCAGATATGAGTTTATCAGGGAAGAATAGCTGGCCGCTTATGTGGCCTTGTGATGTCTCTTTATGGGTTTCTTTTTAGGGATTGTCTCAAAAGTTCTTTTGAAAGGTCTTTTAAGTGGTCTTCTCAGATATTCTGTTTAGATGCCTTTGAGATATTTTCTAGAGGCTGTGTGAAAACGACGTATAACCTGGGAAGTTTAGCCTTACGTCGGAGCTTGAACCGTGATCGGGGATGCCGAAAGTATAATTGGCTGTGTAGAAAAGCCTCTTTGAACCTCAGCTTGTATATATCATTACATATAATCTAGCTAAAACACTTCTATTGCAAGCGGTTGGTAGAATTCAACCCCTCACATGCCATGTGATGCATTTAAGTATCTCATTAGTAGAATTGCTATAAGGACACGCAATAGAAAGTCTTGACATTGGAAATTAATTTTCAATTTTCTATACCTCGGTTCAGCCTAAAAATGTTAATTCAGTCAACGGTAGCTTCCATCATCCTCGTATTCGTCCTCTTCGTCCTCTTCCAAGAGAAGCCTCTCGCGTTCTTCCTCATCCACCCGACCCTGCTCTCTCATCTGTCTCACAGACACGAAAACAAAGATCACGAGTGCCGTTCCAACAATAAATCCCGCGATTGCCAAGGCGGCATTGATTGGAATTGGGTTTCCATCAAACGTATGATGTGTCAATGCATCGAGCCCATACTGAGAAAAGTTGGCGATTCCCGAGAGGCAAATGATGGCGCCGTATACACGCCCAAACGTCGCAAAGCCGAAGACCTTGGTGGTATAATCACTAGAGCCAAGATTAGCACGTGGAAGGTACCCGTGAGTGGAAAACAACATACGACATGGCGGAGTAATAGAGAGGCCGTAGTAAGACAAAGAGCAGAACCGTCATATAACCAGCCCAAACTGCCGGAATGGAGTTCAGCACACCGATGACCGTGGTGAAAAGCACAATTAGCCCAAGCATGGTTGGCACACTGAGGCGATCAAGAAGGTACCCGATCGCAGGTGTGAAGAGCACACCCCCGAGCGGCAGTGCGACGTCGAAAAAGGCACCTATTTTATCGGCCTCCTCGACCGATCCGAGCATGTATTCATACTGCGAGCGAATCGTCGCGATAAAGTAGTTCATGCGAATCATCTGCAAAACAGTCATCAGCGTAATCAGGATAAACCAGGGCGTAGCCATCTGCCTGTGCGCTGGCAGACCGTGCATTACACCCCAGACCCAACTCGTCTGCTTGCGATCCTCTTCTCGCTCCGCACGAATCTGCCGCTCGTCCTTATCACCGAGCACCGCATCGATCTGGCGAATCTTCTTCTTTCGCTGCTCTGCTCGCTTCTTCCGCACGCGATTTAGCTCCGACGTGCTCTCGATTTCATCGTCAGAGTCGTGAACGTCGCGTGTGGCATCTTCGGCCTTTTCTATCTTGTTTTCCAATTGCAGAGTCGAGACATAGTCGCGCGCTGGCATGATGGTCACGAGTGCGATGAGGATACACACAGGGACTATCAGATATCCCAGAAAGAATTTATCCGGGGTGAAAGACCTACCCGTCGCCTCATATATGAGCCGGTAGAAGAGGAACACAGCAGCAGAGGCATCAAATGCACCAGTCACCAGCGCGACGATCGACCCCGCATATTTGGGAAACGCATTCGCGATCTGGAACGAGGGAACAAATAAAAAGGTACCAGCCAGAGCGAGGAAGAAATTACCCGCGATATAGCCATCGAAGCCGGGGTCGTGGAATGCAAATGCCATGATAACACCGCCGATAGCAAGCAGCAGGCAAGCAATGAACCAGCAGACGCGTGAACCACATCGATCTAAAATCGTCCCAACGGGAAGAGCGGAGACATTGGCTGTTATCGAAGCAATGGTGAAGAACAGGTTAAGTCTGACTGTGGTTAGTGACAAGCACAACTCAATGTCTGTGCAACTAACATACCTGAGGTCCTGCTGTGCGCACAGCTCAAGTCCTTCATCTATTTCGGCAGGCGTGCAACGCTCGTGATAAACACCTTCCTCGACGAGCACAGGTTTGAGCGCCGCGAAGCCAAACACGATCCCCGACGCGCTCCAACACGCGAGAACAGTGACGACGACCTGAGCTGGGTGGTGTCAGCACTTTGTCTTACCCTGGGCTGAACAGTACATACCTATTCGCTTTGCTGGGGAATGTTTGTACGCTGGTGTTCCAGGGAGCAATTCTGCGACCGGGATAGCTTCGCTTGGGGGTTGGAGGACATCGTAACTGATTTTTCGGCGAATAGGGACGAAGTCGCAATCGTCAACTAGGTCTGGTTCGGGTTCCCGATCAACGCCATCAAGGACAGAGACATGCTGCACCAAGGACATTCTGTGTTGAACAGAGTTGTGAAGGGGAAGTTGATCTTATCGTGGAAAAACTTCTTTCCCCAGTTTTATGCAAGGCAGCTTTTATGTAATTAACATGTGCCTGGAATGTTCCTTTCGATGAAAGGTTAGTATTATTTACGTGTGTTAAATATGTGTTCTCGATGCTTAAAACTTGGAAGCTTGGAGCTATAAAGCTATGGCACCTGACACGACTAATTTTCCCCCTAGGCTTGAAGTGTACTAGAACAACATTCATAAGCTCATTAGGCTGTGAATACAGGGATATTAATAGGGATTAATGTACCAGATTGGACTAGCTATAGTTATTTGCCACCTCTGATTCGCTTGGTTTCGCCTAAATTGCCAGGTTCCACTGTTTCTGTCCAATCACAGTTAATCCACCCGAAAAGGCGTTTTGTCAGTGAAATTAAGGTGAAGGTGTCCATGGATCTCGGGGACTCACATATATCCATGTAGTTACATAATTAGTGTGTGATATAGTTATACATGGATTGGCTACTTTGTCCTTTATACATTGTTAGAGATTTTCAAATACATTGTATATCTAACCCCTGACGCACTAACATTCTAATATTTTGAGCAGAAAAGTCAAGAAAATAGTACACGTCTGAACACCATTCTTACCCATATACTATAGTCCCTCTCAAGCTGCCGCGACAGAAGGTTTATCCTTCTTGATTGACTTCCATTCCATCGTCAGCGCGGGGATAATCATCAGACAAGACACTGCCACGGCGACAATGAACGATCGTCGGAGGCCATCATTGTATAAAGCCAGAACCTCGGCCAACTTTGTGGTCGGAACAGAATTCGAGAGACCCGTCGCCCCAGTCGCGAGGACCTTGGCCACATCAATTCCCTGGATGTGGGGGAGGTTTGCACCGAGGTAATTCTGGAAGAGCGACTGAGCGACCGCGATAAAGACAGCTCCACCGAGAGACTGCGCGAAGAACATGAGCGAGACACCAATGGCAACCTCATTCATCGGGAGAATAGTCTGCGCCGCCATGGAGGGCTGCTGCATTCCAGTGCCGATTCCGAGACCAAACAATACCTGGTACCCGATCCAGGCGGCATGGTTGGTGTCCACTTTGAAGGTCGTCATCAACCCAGCGCCCGTCGACATGAAAATCGCCGCAACGAACATCCACGGAACGTAGTATCCCGTTGCGGTGATGATTCCACCAGAGATTATGGCCCCCAAAACAAGCGCCAGCACCATGGGAATCGTGTCGATGCCGGATTTCACAGCCGATGTGCCTCGCACGCCCTGGAACCAGAGTGGGAGCGTGTACAGCATAGATATTAGCCCCCACCCACGCACAGGGAAAAGACGACTCCGCTTATGATGCTGCGCTGGTTGAAAATATGAGGCGGTACCGTCGCGTCCTTCTTGAGCCAGATCTGCACACCGACAAAGGCGATAATCAGAATTCCTGAGATGACAAACAGCGCGATGATGCGCCCATTGCTCCAGGGGTAGGTTGTGCCGCCCCACTGCAAGGCGAGCAGGAAGCAGATGACAGAAGGCAGGAAGAGCACGCTGCCCAGGGGATCGAGGCGGAGGATCTGTTGCTTCCAGGTGCACGGTTGGGGTTTGTGGGGGACAGCCAGGAAAAGAAACAAGATGACCATGGTGAAACCGCCGATGGGCAAGTTGATGTAGAAACACCAACGCCATGTTACCTTGTCTGTGAACGCACCGCCCATCAGAGGGCCGATGATTGACGAAAGCCCAAAGGTTGACCCCATCAGCCCAACGTACATGGGTCGTTTGGCCAGCGGCACAATCTGTGCGATTATCACCGTCGCGCCCGAAAATATGCCCGCCGATCCAATGCCTGCTATCGCACGTCCCACGATGAAGGCCTTGGAACCCGGTGCGCCGCCGCAGACCGCCGATCCGACTTCAAAAATAAGGATCGCGATCAGAAAGATGGTCTTAGTCGAATAGAAGGTGTACACCTTGCCCCAGGATAGCTGGGTGGCGCAACTTGTCAGCAGATATGCACTGGCATACCAACTGATGTCGTCAAGGGCGTTGAACTGGGTTGCGATTCGAGGGACCGCTGTGGCAATGATAGTGCGATCCTATAGTGTTCAAAGTCTTATTAGTATAGATCCAGGTGGGTAATAGGAAACACAACATTCATACCAAAGCAACCAAAAACATAGCAAACAGAATAGAAATAATGATAGCTAGCAGCCGGGTCCCCGTTGGTAAGTGAGTCTCATCTTCCTTGACCTCGGAGGGCTTCTCGGTGGTAGTTGAGACCTGGCCCGGTTGCTGGTCAAGCTCCTCTTCTATCGATCGACTCATGTTGTAATACTCAAATTGTGAAGTGTCAAGTAGATATTTGCTGATTTAGTTGACATATAGGGAAAATAGCAGACTTATAAGTGATTGAAGGTCGTCCAGAGTCTCGGAGGTGAAGATTAGTTCGGCGCCGAGCAACATAGAAGAAAGCCCAGTTCGGCGCCGAATGAGCTTCGGAAGGGACCCATCGCCATTTGCTCCTTCTCATGTTTGCGAAACAGCAATACGTCCGAAGCAAAAATATCTTCGATTTTGAAGTTTTCGACGTACTTCAGAATTTGCATGAGTCCCAACTCCCCTACCACAACCTCATCTCTTCGACTGCCCTTCCGATCACCCAACAAAGACTCGCATAGTTGAGCTCTGTTACCGTAACCCCGAAGACTCATACGGTATACCACTTTGGTTGGCGGTAAACGGGTGGAAGCATAGCCTATATTTACAGGTTTTCAGGGCTCCCTATCGCATCTGTGATATGATAGAGAGCTAGTCCTTCACCACGTCTCTAATTGGATTAGCATATTATATATGTACAGTACAGCGGTAATCTGGTTTCCATTCTCCAATTCGTCTTGGGTTTTCTAAAATGGCCAATCAGCACTATAGGAATCTCACCCTCCATGAGCTACCGGAAGATGTCACTGCACACGACATATTATTGTTTCTGAAGCATCGACTAGCTCAAATTGGGAAGGAGCGCTCATTATCTGTTGACTAGCCTGGAGACATCAAAACACAACAATTGGATATGTCCACAGGTATTCCGCATACTCCGTTTGGTGCACACTCTGGTCCTGTAGTATCTATGGCTTTCTCCCCCAACGGTCAATTTCTTGCATCTGCCTCTAGAGACCAGATAGTCAAGATCCGGCATGTTGGTGCAGGTATACCAAAGCCGGAACAACATCCCGAGGGTCATTCAGGCAGGGTCCGTTCGTTAACTTTTTCCGCTGATGGCGAGACCTTGGTCTGTTGCTTGGATGATGGAACAGTTGCACTGTGGTACCCGAAGACGGGTAGTTTATCACAGAAGCAACTATTGGCAAGTTCCCCTGGACTCGACGTTGCTTTAGCACCCAGTGGCAAATTTCTCGTTTCTATTTCAGCCGAAAAAGAGATCAAACTGTGGAGAATATCCAAGTCCAAAATTGAGCCCATTGCAACCTTTCAGAGCCTGAACCCTGCAGACGAGCTGTATGGGACTAGCGAAGTGACCTTCTCTCCCTGTATCCGCATGTTAGCCTCCACTTCGTGGGGCACTATTCAGCTTTGGGATGCAGACACCGTGGCAGGCTCTCTCCGCCTGAAACATATTCTGGATCATGATTCGGATTATTGCTATTGCGATAATCTAACATTTTCACCAAACAGCCAGTTCCTAACAACCTGTTCAAGAGATCAAACGCTCAGGATTTGGAACACCACAACTGGCTCCTTGGACAAAACATTTCAATGCCATCCGGTGGGGTTCTTCAATCTGGAGTTCTCTCCCAACAGCGGATATATCGGTTGCTCTTTGGTCGATGGGAGTAGAAGGTTTCTTTCTCTCTTAGACATTGATGCAAATGGCCAAAAGTAGACCTGGAGAATTGGGGGTCATAGCGAGAGATTAATGTTCTCTCGAGATGGCTCATATTTAAGCACTGATTTTGGGTACCTGGATATCCAGCCTGAGTATTGGGACACTCCCATTTCTCCGGGGGATGACGTGGAAATTTTATATCAAAGTTAGACTGGGTGACCTTTAACCGCCGAAAGACATTATGGCTACCTCCCGAGTACCAATCCAGCTGCTTCGCGATCCATGGCAAAGTTCTCGTGCTTGGGTATAGATCAGGAAGGGTTTTGTTTATCGAATTTTGTCCCCAATGATCTTGTGAAGGAAGTCAAATGGAAGTATCTTATATCAAATGCTTCTTTGCAGGTCAAGCTATATATGAGGGTGCGCAGTAGGAAGGTATAGGATATGAGCATACTAAACCCAATCAGGCGCGCTAAACCGCATTGCGTAATTCACTGTCACCAGAGACTACGATGTATACATCGTACATCGTATATCATTGTTGTTTGTACAACTATAGATTGTAGCTCATTGTCATTGGACCGATTGGAAGCAATAGCTAAAAATAGTAACTATCGCTGCTTCTGGTTTGTCGAGAGCCGTTCCACATAGAGCGCGAAGGTCCCCCACTCGAGACTTGTCAACGTTGAGGGTAGTCGAGGTCTCTCATTATGATTGACTACAACAATGGTACCTTCTTACATATCTGTCAAGCCAGTACCATCCTACAGATCCCCATTCTCCAGGCCTAAAGGGAAATTAAGATTGATTGTTCGGTAAAAGGAACATGCCACGCATACATGACAGGAACCCAGGCCTTCGTCATTTGAACAGCAACAATGTTACCTTCATATGCAGCTTGCAAGCCCACAGAAGATGGCCGAAAGGTCAGATGGTTGGAAGGAGAAATACAAATCAAATTGTTCTTGTCGCCAAGACTTTAATATAAAAAAGCCATGTTCCACGGATATTCGGTATGACGTAGACGCCAATGACGTAGGACCCATATTGTTCAACTAAGGTACCATGGGCTCACTCTTTTTATTTTAACCTGCTCTACTCCGTATATTATCGATTTTGAACTCCTTGCATAGCATGTTCTTTAGTTGACATTCAAATAATCAGCCGAGCAGTGATAATCACAGAACCTTCGAAAACCACAAAGAACACAACCAGCATGGCCAACATATCAATTAGTGCCCCTGGCCTGAGCAGCGGCGGGTTTCTTTACAGCAATGGCAACAATAATGCGCGACTATGCATCACAGCCGAGGCCGAAGATTTCGATATGGAGATCATCAAGAACTGGCAAGAGGAAGGATTCGACGTCGTATACCTCCCGTACAACGGCGGAGGAAAAGAGTACGCTCGCCGGCTGCAGTCTGTAAAGGATGGTCTCGGTGTAGGCGAAAACTACGGTGTGATCGGTAGGCAGAGAACTCTCTCTAAACATCATAAAGAGTGATGGACTGACTTGACTGACCCCATTCTTAGCCTATGGCGACGCCGCGGACTTCTGTCTCGACTACTATCTCAACTCCATCAACGCCAGTCGACTCTGCGCCCTGGTCGCCTACTACCCCAGCCTGATCCCTGATACGCGATCGCGATTCCCACTCTCCCTCCAGGTCCTCGTGCACTTGGCAGGCGAAACTGTGGACGTACTTGTTCAGCCCGCCGCGCTTGGCTTGCAAGGAAAGAAACGCCGCCAGAACCGGCCGATCAATGCTGGTATCGGAACTGGTGAGCGTTTGGAGCTGGCGTACCCGGCGTTTACGTATGATAATGCCGAGCCCGGGTTTGCGGAGACCGATCTGGAGGAATATGATCATCTGTCCGCGGATCTAGCCTGGACGCGGACTTTGAAGGTCCTGCGGAAAGGATATTCCAGGGATCCGGATTACGAGCAACGATATGAGCAGCATGTGGATGGTAAGTTACAATCGCAAAAGGATCGAGCGACAGCGAGCTAATGTTTTGTTAGGCAAATTTTTCTCGTCGAACGTGAGGAAGACCATGGATGCTTACGTCCAACATAAAACCCCCGGTGTCACTTATACGCCAACAATTAGCGGCGGAATCGGGAAAAAAGCCTTGCGCCATTTCTATGAACATTACTTCATCGGCAAACTCCCTCCGTCCATGCGCCTCCGACTGCTTTCTCGTACCACAGGACCCGACCGCATCGTGGACGAGCTGTATGTGAGCTACGAGCACACACAGGAGGTACCATGGATGCTACCAGGTGTCCCACCGACAAACAAGCGAGTCGAGATCATCCTGGTGAGTATTGTCAGCATGCGCGCCGGGCGTCTTTACTCTGAGCACGTATACTGGGACCAAGCCAGCGTCCTCGTGCAAGTCGGCCTTCTGGACCCCAAGTTGCTGCCGGAGGGAGTCCAGGGTGTCGACCGACTACCCGTCGTTGGGCGTGAAGCTGCTCGTCGCATCCTTCATGAAGATACGGAGCTCGAACAGGAAGACTACCACAATAAGATGATCCGTCGTGCGCGTGCACGCGCAAGGAGGAACTTGAACAAGAGCGCCCGCGCATCGCAGGCTGGCGATGACTTTAGTGACCTGAGGAGTGAGGCGGAGCAGTCGCTGCCTGACAGAAGTCGGAATAAGGGCAAGGCGGTTCAGAAAACGAAGCCTGCCAGTCTGCAGCGGACAAACACGGAAGCGGCTGAGGACGAGAATGATGACGGCGGCGAGACGGAGACAGAGTCTAAGGCTGGCGATCAGGCCTACGTCGAGGATGGGGGAGATGATAGTGGTGAGAACGGGTCCAAGCAGACGTGACTTCTCACTTCTACTTCTCTTTGTCGGGATGACCACGACGACATCGCCATGGCCATTGTCCTGCCTCCAGAAGTTGTCAAGTCGACGATGTACAAATTGAGTTGGGAATGTTCTTCTGATATTTTATGCGACTGTTTTTTGGTTATGAGTGATGTTGTACCTGTCGATTTCTTTTGTTTAGCATTAATGATTGACACTATTGTGGATATGATGATAAATGTGATATATATTTGGCAGTATGTACCGAACTTTGCTGAGTAGTAGGCTTAGATTAGTTCACCCTTCTCAACATCCCCGAGGATGACAGTTCCATCGTCGTCATCGGAGGCCACGGTTTGACAATTTGGAGAGAAGACGAGTGATATGATAGTTTTAAAACACCATCTTCTGAAGGTTTACTACCTCTTCCTAGAGGTTTGAAGGTTTCCATTGGTTCGGAGCTCTTCACTAGTCTTCACGTCCCAGAGTCGGATGTTTTGCTCATAGTCCGAGGACGCCGGCATCTGATTATCCAGAGAGAAGGCCACGCATGTGATGTCTTTCATTTCGCTGGAAGCATTGCGAGAGTTAACGACGGATATTGTCAGCAGAGGGGGCAATTGGAAGGCTTGGGGTGGGTCGATATTGTGATATTAGGCGCCGAAATGATATGAATATAGCCCCCTAGAGCCCATTCAACCACGAATTTTGTACGTTTCACCCGATTATTAGCTACAAACCCTTAAAGCCCTACATAATTTACTGCCTATCTAAAATAAGTCAATAAGAAAACGAAGCTCTTGTGTGATTTAATTTGAATCGATCAAATCAAAAATGAATATTTTGAAGAATTCCAGCTGTCATTATCTACATTTCGTACTAGATTTCTGTATCATTTCAATCTGAATAAAAATAATTTCTAATAAACTGACCCCAAACAGTGAGCCAAATGCTGGCCAATGAAGTCAACCTAAAAATCCGCTAAGGCAATGGGCCGATAACTGACCCCATCGGGATAAGAACGGGGATATCCATGAATGTTCCCCATTCCATCTTCGTCGGCCCTTCGGTACGTCCACGAGTGACTACAAAGATACTAGGCTACGATAAGTGGAAAGCAGCCAGTAGCTTCCCGATTTTGAATGGGGGAAGCTACCTCTACGTTAACCTGTAAACCCTACTGCATGTGGAGAAGTAGCCATGTCTGCAAGAAAATTATCGCGCATAGCCGGCTCTTCATATGGCCCTAAAGCGTATCTATGACTCGAGTTATGAATTAGGTAAACGGCTGAATCTCCGACCACAAGTGATTCTGTTGCCTATCGCAAAGTTAAAATCGCCAAGCGGTGGCTATCAACGAAGCAGTTGACTTCCAAGGTTAACTATAAGAAGGGTACGGCGTATCTCACAAAATTCCCCAAGCAGCCAAGTCACTCACCGTACACCTTGCCATACACAAGTCTCTCAAGATGCGTACTTCTTTAACCTGGACTGTTTTCCTATCCTACCTAGGATGCAGTGCAGCTGCTCCAACATTACCTCCTCTCCCTCATCACCTGGTTGCGCGTGACACCCCTTTCAACAGCAGCCTTCCCAACATCACCATTTTCGCTACTGGAGGCACTATTGCCGGCTCTGCTGCCTCAAACACTGCCACCACGGGATACACCGCCGGTGCACTTGGCGTTGACATCCTTATCCAAGCCGTGCCTGAGCTCTGGAATATCTCAAATGTCAAAGGTGTCCAGGTCGCTAATGTTGACTCGGGGTCCATCACCCCCGAAATTCTCCTTAAATTGGCATCGCTGATCCAAGATGCTCTGGATGACCCATATTGCCAGGGAGCCGTTGTCACTCATGGAACTGATACTTTGGAGGAATCCGCGATCTTCCTTGACCTGACTATCAAGACGGAAAAGCCTGTCGTCGTGGTGGGTGCTATGCGGCCAGCAACAGCTATCAGCGCTGATGGACCCATGAACCTGTTGGAAGCTGTCACTCTTGCGGGCACCCCCGAGGCACGTGGTCGTGGTGCCATGGTTGTGCTGAACGACCGTATCGGGAGCGCCTTCTACATGACGAAAACGCACTCAAATTCCCTCGACACCTTCAAGGCAAACGAGCAAGGCTACCTGGGCTTCTTCCTGGATACAAAGCCGCTGTTCTACTATCCTCCGGTCTTGCCCAATGGCCGTGTGTACTTCAATGTCTCGGGGGCAACTGAATTGCCTGAAGTGGACATCCTATTCGGGCATCAAGTACTCAACCCGAAGCTGGCTCGGTCTGCAGTAGAGAGTGGAGCAAAGGGTTTAGTCCTGGCTGGTATGGGTGCTGGGGGCTGGACAAAGGCGGGAACAAAGGAGATTGAGAAGTTGGTTAAGAAATACGGTACGCAAGTCGTGGTTTCTAGCAGGACAATGGGGGGCTTTGTCCAGACAGACGGCTCTGAAAATATGTACGGTGGACAGGACTTGAACCCCCAGAAGGCTCGTATAATGCTGCAACTTGCTCTTTACGCAGGATACGGCTCTAAGCAGCTCGCAAAATTGTTCGGGTTTGGGTTTGCATCTTGAGAGCAAGTTCGGATCTCGGCAATCGTGGGAGGCTACATGGCAATCCCTAGTCATTAGTGCTTAGATATAGAGTATAGAAAGATGATTTCATGTATAGTAACCTCCTCTGACCAAAGTTGAAGCCCCGAATTGAAATATAGGTGTGATCATTTCTATACGGAAGAGCTGTATATTCGCAGTCGCAGTAGCTCCCCTCACGCACTGTTAAGAATGGCTTGCCTAAGAACTGAGCTGGAAGGTGTAGGCGCAACATCTGGTGCAATTGGTTAATGGCTTATCAACAGCATTGTGGACCTCCAGCTTCTCCAGAAGATTGTCTTATCTACGGAGTACGGACCTCGGGAGTAGAACGTTCGTTTTTCCAATTTACAGTGGGGCCGTAAACAACGTTATCTACCGGCTTTTACGTCACAATTTTACTGTAATACTGATAGAGATTCCAATTCAATGAGCCAATGATGAATCAGGTATGAGAGTATCCAAAAATCCTAGGTATACCAGAGGGCATATTATAGACTTCGTATTTTTAGGGTTGTTGTGGTGGTGAAGCCTTGGTGCCTTAGGTATCCACGAGATAGGACAGCAAGGTATCAGAGAAACCATTACTCCGTCTTTCGGGTAGGAAGGCGGTCAAGCTCTGGCAATATTATTCTTCCTCACCCAATGAACATCGTCACTGGGCTCGGGACCCGGGGTAACCATGGACCAATATATACAGTGTAGCATGCATACACTCAATGACACTTACATTCTGCTATCACACGTACATAATACTCATTACCGCCTTTCAGCGTGATTGTACAAAGTGACACATCTACCTAGGTGTGGTTACTATTTCGGGAGTCGAGGCACGTCGCTTTTAATTTACCGCATATCTACATAGCGCTGACGTCGACCTCTTCATGTACGGAACGCACACGGATTGAACATCGCACTTTCCGCGGTTACTCCAAAGGAGATCATCCAAAAAAAAAAACTCACACGCATCGAGTCATCCTCAAAATGTGTTCCTAGGGGCTCAAAGACTCAATCTCACCTCGGCCCCGGCCAATATGACGCGGCATTCACATTTCCAGACCGGTCGCAGACCTCGAGGTTATCCTGGCTTTCGATTAGACGAGACTCGTGTCACCGGCCCAATATCCTTCCTAAATCCCACCGCGGCGCACTATCAACCAATCCAACACCCAGAAGAGGCTCGTCCTCCTCCACAAATCGAGCGTCTTTGGCGATCTCGCGACAACAGAAAAGGCCGACATGCCATTCGCGTCGATACAGAGGCATTACCCCATGAAACGGGGGTTACACCACCGCAATTGACGCGGTCCTTCTCGGCGGTAGCCAAGATCTTTCTCCAAATGGTGACCTACGTCCCTTATTGGGACGTGTCGTATCTCGTCGCCATGAGCTTCACTATCGGATCCGCAGTCTTCATCGTCAATGGATTCTTCGTGTGGTTACCGCTCGCAGACAAGAAGACCGAGTTTCGCGGTGAGATTGAAGTTGCCGGCGGTTGGACGGGGTTCGTCGGCGCGACAATCTTCGAAATCGGAGGTATACTGCTGATGCTTGAAGCTTTCAATACCAACCATACAGGATGTTTTGGCTGGGCGCTTGAGACTGTTGTCGAGAAGTCTATCGAGGGTGGAATTCCTCACCATGCAATGAAAGAGCTCAAGCCGAAGGTCTCGCAGTGTGAGCATCATCAAGCGAATCGGAAATCATTTCTCCGGGAGAAGCACCATCATCATGCCATCGACAATGTCCAGTCTCATCGGGATGAGACTGGTTACGTTACTTCATCGACAGAAGGCAGGACATTCCGATGGATTCCGTCAATGTCGGAATTGCGCAAGCATTATTTTCATGAAATTGGCTTTCTAGCTTCTTTTATATTATTTATAAGCGCAACGATTTTCTATATTGGTGCAATTGTCGGCGTTCCTGGTGTCTTTAACCATATGAGCAAGGGACTCCTTGATGGCCTCTACTGGGGTACCACTACTCTTGGTGGGTTGGGGTTCACTATAAGTTCATGGATGTACATGCTTGAGACGCAGTCAAAGTGGTATCTTCCTGCTTGGCATGTTCTGGGATGGCACATTGGGCTTTGGAATTTGATTGGCAGTATTGGGTTTACTCTTTGTGGTGCACTGGGGCCGGCGAGTGACAACTCTGGCGCGAATTATCAGTCTTCGCTCGCTACATTTTGGGGCTCGGTGGCTTTCATGATAGGATCTATGATCCAGTGGTATGAAAGTTTACAAAAACATCCTGTTGAGGAAAAGTGATGGTGAACTTGAGCCAAGAAATGCATGAGAATTATAAGTAGACTTATAAAAGAAAGCTATGTATATATTAAACAAGAATACATCTGCCTTTAGTCTCGGTTCAGAAACCAATGCCAAGACATCCGCTCCCAAGCCCCTTGCTAAAGTTCTACCTCAAAACTGACATGGTATTACACGTTTATTATCAATTCAATCATATTGGCATCTTCAGGGCCTGCTCTGAAAGCAATGATAGCCAATCTAGGTTGGGTTATTTCACTAACTCAAGCAACCCATCCCACCTGTTGCATAGGCCACTGCAACCAGCAACGATGCTCCTCATCCAAATGATAATATATACCACTGATAGTATGGACACTAAACCCCTGCATCCACCAAGCCCATTCCATCTCTTTCATAACAACACAAAAATATGCAAAAATCACCATCGCTTCAGGCGTACGCTGCTGGAAGTATCCAAAATACTGATCCGAAACTCTCAACAACCAAATAAATATATCAGCAGTCTCGCAGTTATGTGATCCAATTTCGTTGACTGTTGCGAATGACATCGCCATATCATCGATTGAGTCGTGATAACACTGCAACTCACTGGAATCCTGGACTGTATCCTGCAAAAGCTGTTTCAAGACCAGAAGGAACGGCGGCATGGCCGTGGCAGACCTCGCGTCCCGAGCCAGCTTCTTGCGGTGACCCATAGCAAACATCGGTGCTAGAAGGCCCGTTTTGAGAGAGACATCTGCCGATGCCAGGATGTGTGTTGTGCCACGAAAGAGGGTCAACCACTCGATATCTCGATCACTATTTGCCCAGAAATCGTGTCTGATGCGCGGCTTGGCGCAGGAGATAATGCACGTCAGGATCGAAAAGAGATATATGCTTTGGCAGTTTTCCTTATTCACGTCTGGGAGGATGGCAGTTACCATCTGCAAGGCGGTGTTATGGTGAAGCTCGGCTTGACAGACATAATGTTCGTGAAATTCAGGCTTTACATGAGCCAGATGCAGCGCGGAAAGAGCGATAATGGCGCGGAATACGAATGGCGATGTGAAGCTAACTTGCGGGATCCGAGTTTGCCATACTGTTTGCAGAATTGGGTTGCGTGAAATCGTATAGCAGGTTGATGTAGAGAAGTGGTGAAGTAGAGCCATCTCGGCCATGCCCATTAGTGGGGTGTTCTCCCCCGAGACGGGACTTGGCGCGCTGGAATTGTTGGGAGTTGGAGACCCTATTTGCCTGGAGCCTGCGGGGGCGCTCTCACTGAAGAGACATTGTACTCCGTGTTTGAAGCAATTGTTACAGTGTGGCCTGGTCTCATCGCACTTTTGAGCGTGTCAAATAAGGATATATATTATTCTCTTTGGATCACTCACTTTTACTTTGCGGGCTTTACACCATTGGCAGCCGTTCCTAGACTTCTTGTGCGACCGTCGAGGGCCCATGTTAACCTCCTTTAGCAGGACTGAGCCTGTACAGAACAAAATATATGGATAACCGGAGAGAGAAGATGTAGTGTTTAATTTCCAAAAATTATTTCAAATATCTCGAGAAAGAGTTTTTGTACTTCCAACCCGAAATCCATGTCGAAAATGCTCTCGACCCACAAAATAAACGTTTAAGCTAAAAATAATCCATGGTACCCTTTTTCCCTTTCCAAATTCATTTCTCAGGCATCTCCCGAGGTCTTCTCATATCAAGCATTTCCTTGCTACTCTCCTGAGACTCGACGTCACGTGTAGCCAACTGGGGAGTCACCAATGTCTTCGGGGAGAAGATATTGAAGGTAACCATAGTCAAGAACATCAGAGCAGCATCAAAGATATACAGATACACCTCCGTTGACATCAGCGGACCATCCGTACCCGTAATATACTCAATGGCACGGAAGATAGACCGAATCATAATGAATAGACTAGCCGTGTATAGGACAAAGAAGCACTTTTGCCACGGCACCCTGATAGAAGACATGGAAACGCAACCACAACACTTCCAGAGCCGGTAATGGAAGATGCCAGCAGTCACAACGAAAAACCCGAAGAAGGCAATTTGGATGAAAAGACCGGCAATGATAATGTTTTGTCCGAGGGTAATCTTGGACTGAGTCTTTGCAGAGGAAAGGAAGCCACCGCCAGCGCATTGGGCGAAGAACGAAACCACATCTCCGCAGACAAAGATCTTAGTCAACCACTTGACTGAGATGACAGAGAGCGAATCATGGCCGGTGGAGACGATTGAGCGGCCCAGGATCATGTAGATGGATGCAGCGAAGAACGCTGGTGCAACAAGGAGCAAGAGTGATTGCATGATATATGGAGCTGTTGTCCAATTGGGGGTTTCTTTCGAGTTAAGATAGCGACCGACATAACCGACAGCTTCAACTATAAGCAAGTTAGCTTTATATATTTGTTCTTGAATGGGGTGTATACTTACAGAGTCCTCCGATAATGAAAGGAATGAAGAACCATGATCGGCTCCGGATCATTTGGAAAATGTGCACCAAGGTGGTTAATCCAAAGAGAACGACGAAGATGATCGCCGCAACTGCCGACGGGTCATAGTTATAGAGCGTATATGTGGAGTCGTTGGCCATGACTTTGGTGGTCTGGATTTAGTAAAGGAGATTTATAGTAAGAATGGGATCGAATCTGAAAGGTATTGACTGTGAATAACAAAACTCATGTAGAGATTGACAGACGCTTTTATATCTGTGTATCAATTGCATTGCTACGAGATTTTTGCAAGATATTCTGGGCCCCGAAAATCTATTTTGGTGAGTTCACGTACTCGGGTTGCAATCCGAGAAGATTTAGACAGGCTTGTCCCTAGAAGCTTATTTTGGGTGGAGAATCTAGGTTGTCCCTTGGCGCAAAACTATATAATCTAGATTGCCAATTAAAAATCACGTTTTTCGGCATTGAAGACAGATCAATCTCGAAACTACCGTTTTGCACAGTAAAACCGTGGATGTTTGAAGATCAAAGATCCGAACCCGAAGTCCTAATAAGAGTAGAACTTCGGTTTCTGATTGGTCACCAACTCTCGGATTCGTAACCTTATTTCTCGTATTCGGGTTCGGATTATCCAGCCTGCCGATCTCCTTCAGGCACCTGCAGTTCTTGTTCGGTGAAGATGATAAGTTTACAATTATCTAGATGCCTAGAGTCATAGTTAAACATGCCAATAATTCTTCTGCCTGAACAAGACTCAGCCTTGTTTAACTCATATGGAGCACATCGGGGGTATCCAAAATGGTGACCCGAAAACGAGCCCCTGCCGTGATCGTCATAGAGGACACCCAAAAGGGCTGGTTTGAAGGCTGCCTCAACCGAACTGAAACTGTTATTGGCACGAATGGCAAGAAAACAAGAACAGAAGAATCACAAACTTTTATAAGACGGGAATGTCCCCTAAGATTGTTTGAGAAGCATCGACCACAGATCTGATTTTGCAACAATCAAAATGCAGCTTCTCCTTCCCTTCATTGGATTGTCCTTTTCGGGCCTTGCGTATGCCAACTCGAGCAGCGCAAACCCCTCGGCGACCGTGACGGGCTTTCTCTCCACTTCTTCCGGCACTCTTCAAGTTCCCAAGGGAGCTTCGTGTGCTTGCGCAAAGCTTTCTAGGTCTATGCCAAAGAGCGTGATCCTTCCCGGCTCGGCAAATTACACAACTCAAACTGTCGATAACTACTGGGATATCCGGGCGGATCTTTCTCCTGCATGTGTTTTCGTGCCCAATACTACTGCTGAAGTGTCGCAAGCAGTCAAGATCATCGGTGCCTGCGATGCGCACTTTGCTGTTCGCGGTGGAGGTCATATGAATGTAAGACTATACCCGAGATGGCAGTAAAAACAATGGAAACACACTAACTCTCTCTAACTCTACAACAGTATCCTGGATCGAACAACATTGATGCGGGAGTTCTGATTGCTCTGTCGAATCTCAACTCCATCAATGTGAAGAGAGATACCGTGGATGTTGGCCCTGGCCTCAATTGGTACCAGGTGTATTCAGCACTTGAGCCCCATGGCCGTGTCTGCATTGGTGGCCGTATGAAGACCATTGGTGTTCCCGGACTCAGTCTTATCGGTGGTTTCCACTACTTCAACAACAAGTACGGATACGCCATGGACAATGTGATCACCTATGATGTCGTTCTTGGAAACGGCGCTCAAATCACTGTCAACAAGTCTTCGCACAGCGATCTTTTCTGGGCCTTGAAGGGTGGCGCGAACAACTTTGGAATTGTCACCAGATTTGAACTGAAGACTTATGCTGTTCCTAGGGTCAGCACCACTATTCAGATTTTCAACGAGACAAACATTCCCGAGTATCTTTCTGCGGTCTGCGAGGCGGCTAAGCTGGACGATAATGATCCCATTGCCGCAGGAATGATCTCAACTATCACCTACAATGCGACTACCAAGATGGCACAAGGCTCTATCCTCGGTGTCCAGGAGGGTATCAGTAACCCCCCGTCTCAGTTTGCCAACTTCACCAAGATTCCAGCAACTCAAAGAATTCATAATGTCACTACTATGAAGCCGTGGGCTGAGACCCTTGACTCCCCTAAGCAGATGATGCGGTATGTAATCTTGACTATATTGGAATATTCAGTTCACTAATTATTTAGCGTCCAATTTTCTCACAGGACAATGAAACCAGACGCGAAGGTTCTTTATTTGATTTACAAGGCTTGGAAAGCCGCAGTCGACAGCATCGCCGATGTTCAGGGCCTTTACCCAACTTTTGTTACGAACGTCATTTCCCCGGCTTCAGTCCGCGTGGCCAAGACCAACGGTGTTGGCAACGTTTGGGGTCTCGAAGAAGAACCTCTTATTAGTAATTTCTTCCAGATTTGCTTCGGTTTTGCTGCTTAGACTAACCATTGTTCTACAGTCTGGCAATTCAGTACCGGCTGGGCCCTAGCCCAGGACGATATTCGCATGGAGGCTTGGTCTCGTCAATTGGTCGAGCACCTTCACGGTTTCAACAAAGAGCTAGGGCTTGCTTCCGAGTTCATCTATATGGGAGATGCTGGTGAGTGGCAAGATCCGTACGCGGGTTTCCCAAGTGAGAATGTCGCTCGTATGAGAAAAATCAGGTCTTCTTATGATCCCGCAGGGGTTTTCTCCACTCTTAGCTGGGGTGGGTTTAAGCTAGGTCTGTAATTATGCTCAAATATTTGTCTTTGGGGGGACCTTACAATAATTGTACTTGAGTGGTGGTCACTTTGCTGTGTGTACAACATCTATAAACTCAAACCACTTTTTAAGCATGAGCTCTCGGTTAGATTTCGATAACATAGGCGCAATGTTAATAGCAAGCTGTTTAATGTAGTAGTATCAACACCTGGGCAGGGTGTCAAGCGAGGTTGTTAGAGCCAATAAAAATGTCCGCGGAATGATCACCGGCCAACCTCATACATTACTGTCACCCATGTCTTTTAACATGCCACCTGTCTAGGTAAAACCCACAAATAGGGTGACAGTATCGGTGATTATAAAGCATTTCCAAGCCTTTTAAGAGGCGCACAGCCGTTCATTGGAATGTATAGGGAGTACCCACATACCACGCACGATCCTAGATCGACATCATATGGACACCTTGGGACTGGAATGTGCAACCAGCCAACCGATTGAGAGAAGATTATATTTAATGACACTTGCCAGCCCCTGAGCATGATGCAAAGCTCCTTTGAATTTTAGACGCGTTTCAAGTCCAACATCATAGTCATTCCAGTCACTCATCCCCGCCATCTCATTACCGTAGCGGCAATAATGAGAAAGGTAATAGGTAATACTTCGTATATAATAAGGGATGAGCGTCTTTCTGGATATGCTTTGCCATCACACAATTCAATCAGATCAACAAAAACTACAACTTTACGAATATCAAAAATCCCAGCAATCATGCATGCCCTCACCACATCACTTATCTCCCTATCCCTGCTATCAAGTACAGTCCACGCCCAAACCATCGCTCGTGTCTGGACACACTTCTATCCAAACTGCCCTGGCGAGCCATTCAGCAAACTCGACACATACGAAAACTACCAAGAATCCGGCCCATCCCAAGACATCACCGTGGGCAGCTGCAAAACTTCCCAGTCCCGTCTTCCGAGCGCAGCCTCGTTAGCGCTATCTCCGTCGACGCAGAGCTCCTCGCCCATAACCACGATCTACCCTTCCTAGAAGGCGGCAGCGGCTGCAACATCACCGTACACGAGGTCCCAGGATGCATCGACCCGCCCCTGATCACCAAAGAGATTCGAGATGGCGTCGAAGTCAGCCAGTGCGCGGTGCGCCAGATTACTTACACCCAAGTCTGGGTGAATCTTGTTTGCGACAGCGATAGTCCTATCCACGATGAGAACACCCCCACACAGGGGACAAATGAGAACAAGCAAGCAGCTACCAAGCAGTCTACGCCTACTGCTCAGCCCGAAGTGCCTGCGCGAACTGAGAAACAGACTTCTGTCGAGGATATCAATAATATCCAGATGCCTGGGTCGAACTCGGATTCTTGGCGTTTGTCCCAGGTTACGCATAACCAACGTGAGCCGGTGCAGGAAAGCCGTGTTAATAATGCCGGTCATGCGGAGAGCGACCGGATTGTTCATCAGGTGATGGAGTTGTTGAAGAATAAGACTTCGCATATCGTCACTGGCAAGCATCATTCTATTCACTCGAATGTTACGCTGCATCACAATGGTACTGCCCCGGGCAATCACACTGCGATGTCACGTCGGCGTTTGTCTGTTTTGCGAAACCGGGCTGCTCGGTTTGTTTAGATTTAGATTTAGATTGTATATCTTCTGTGCATTGGGTTTATGTTTGAAAAATTGGAATCATGTGTGTATACTAGATGAATCAAAAGTCAATTATTATATTTGGAGATTTTCCAATATGACCATTTACATTAACAGCATTGTAGGTTGAGAAAGATTAGATGCGACTCCCAAACAGTAAGACGATCTATGGTCTACATGAATCAACAAGCCTCTCCCCTGGTTTCCAAATACTCTAACTTGTCTCTTCATCGGCGTCTTGGGCTGCCTGCTTGCGACGGGCAGCCTCCTTCCCAGCAAAGCTGAACAGCATGCCAAGATCATAAATCACTTTCAAGCATCCTGCAATAATGAAGGACACACCGAAATGGCCATTGCGCGACAAGATACCAGTTAACAAAGGACCCATACTCTGGGCGGTAGTCTTGACGACATTCACCGATCCCATGATAGCAGTGCGCTTGTCTGCCGGCAGAGCCGCAGCAAGGAATGCGGAGCGAGGCGCCACATCCATGTTCTGGGAGCAGGCTCGCAGAACCAAGAAGGTCAGTGCCAGGGGCAGGCTAGATGGGACGGAGATGAGAGCCAGGCAGATCGCCGACGGCAAATGTGTGAATACCATAGTCTATCAACAAGTTAGATGTCGCTCAGCTGGGCGAGTAAGAATATCTTACCTTGACATTACCAATTCGTTTGGCGAGGGACGAGGCGACGAGCATGGATACCGCGGAGATGATATTTGTCGTAAAGAAAATAGTACCGAGTTCACCTTCAGGCAGATTGAACTTGCCCTTGAAGAAGTAGGTCATCCAGGACCTGACAAATTAGCATTGCAGCCGGCGAGAGTTGGGATCGTACTCACAGTGAAGCCAATCCAGACGCAAATGAGTCTAATCCAAATAGGATGAAGAGACGGATAACCAGCGACCACAGGTCCTTTTCGATAGACGGAAACAGCCCCTTCTTCTTCGGGGTCGGCTCGACATCCCGCTCGACTGGCTCTATCAGCAGCGGTTGGGTTTCGGAGCTCTGCTCTTGTGGCTCTTCTTTCTGGACCTCGACTTTGCCACTCAGACCCAAAGTGAAGATTAGCTTAACGACTCCAACACCGGCATAGACGAAGAAAATGATGCGACAGGCGGGAATGAAGGCCCATCCATGAATTGACTCGAGAGAATTGATAATCCAACCACAGACAAGCATGCCTGTGGCCGAGCCAGCAGTTCCAATCAAGGAATACCAAGCAAAAACATCACTCAAAAGCTCATGCGGTGTGAGATGAGCCAAAGTGGATTCCTCGACGGCGCGGAACGGACCAATTTCATTTCCACTAAGAAATTAGGTTAGATAAAAATAGAACGGAAAAAACGAAAAATAAAAAAAAAAGACAAACCTCGGACTAATGACACCGAAGACTGCAGCTGCCAGTAAAATCCAAAAGTTCTCAAACAGTGCGAAAATGATTCCGCTGCCAGCCATGAGGATCGATCCGAGCGACAACACCGCCTTACGGCCCATAGAATCGGCAAATAGGGTGAGGAAGAAGCTAATCACCACATCTCCGACCAACGTCAGGGTCATAAATAAGCCAATGCGATCATCTGAAATCCCCATGGCCGACAGATACGATGCCAGAATCAAGGTTGATCCACCATACGCGAAGAGGCGCACGAAGCGTTGCGCGCAGAGAAGCTTCACGTCGAGCGACGAGCGCCACATGGTGATTAAGCCCAGCTCATCGAGAACATGGGCCATGTAGCGCGCCGGTCGCGATTGATTCTCCATGATCAGATTATCAGATAGATTGAAGAAAGAAAGTTGAGACGCGGGTCACCAATCACCTCATAACTCCGACCTCGGGGTAAATGACTCGGAGTTCGGGCCGGAGCTAAGCTTTTTTAGGAGATCTCTATTTTTGGATATAAAAACAAATTACATACAAATGTTCTCAATTACAGCTATGATTCTTCAGTCTTGGGAGGCCATTTCACTCGTCGTTCCGCCCGCACGTACAGATTGGTAGGGCGAATCAACTGGAACATGGGATCATACTCGACCGGTCCATCATTCTCTCTCGTGAACTTATACCGGTACAACAACTTGGGCAAGAACACTTTGACTTCCTGCAAGGCAAAGTTGAACCCAATGCACATACGCGGCCCAGCAGCAAAAGGAATATACGCAGTCTTGTGGCGGTTCTTGACTTCGGCCGTATCCCAACGATCCGGGTCAAACCGTGCTGGGTTAGACCAGACCGCTGGATTGTTGTGTATGTGATGAAGGGCAGGGATAATGATGGAGTCTTCGGGGAGCTTGTATCCGCCTGGAAGAATCATATCGACCTTAGCAGTGCGCGCAGGCTGATATGAGGGATTATGACGACGTTGGGTTTCTTTGATGAATTTGTCCAAGAAGGTCAGACGGTCTGTCAGATCTGCGGTCATTGGAGTATCGGCGTCGATGTCATTGTCAATCAGCTCCTGTAGGAGTCTCTCCTGCATACCGGGGTAGTTGACTATCGAATAAAGCAGCCACGATAGCAATGAGCTAGTAGTCGTAAAACCAGCTCCGGTGGCTACGACTAGTGCCTCCATCAGACTTGTCTTGGGCAATTTCTCACCCTTGTTATCGGTGGCACGAATAATATAATCTCCCGGAACGTTAGCTCGGGCTTTCCAACTTCTGGTTATTGCACATACCAATCATGTTAGAGGCCTTCAATGCAGCATCCTGCAACGGGAGATCCTCGACGCCATTGCGAGAAGCACTTTGAATTGACTCGTTTACCATCTCAATGATACGATGACGAGCATCCCGTAGGCGCTTCGGGTCACCGAACGGCAGTTTGGCGTACCAATCACCACGGGCGGTCACCTTTTTGTTCAGCTCCAACGACTCGGCGATCCGGTAGACAAGTTCATGAGGCGGCGCATCCACAGCCGAGAAATGCTTAAAGTCCATACCGAGAACCAGCTTACCCACGGCCTGCGCACCGAGCTTGAGCATATACGGGTAGACGTTCCAAGCCTCGCCGCGTTCGTCTAGCTCGTCGAACACACTAAATGCATCCTCGACGGTTTCTTGCATAGTGGGAGCGTAGTGGCGCACTGCTTTTGGTCCTAGTGCTGGTGGGAGGAACTTGTGTGCCGCACGCCATTCAGGTGTATCGGTGTCACCTAAAAACACACCAGCCTGTTGGTTCTTAATCGGGTATAAAGGGTGTGCCTCGTTGATTTTCTTAGTAAAGAAATCGGATTCAGCAAAGACAATGGCCGATAGCTCGGGGTCATTTGTGTGGTAGACTGTCCGGCCCATGTTGGTGGTTTGAATGATGGGTCCATATTGGTCAAACAGACGCTGGTGGTTTCCTAGGTGATCGGGGTAGACTTCGAAGAAGTTTCCCACGAATGGCAGTCCCTTGGGACCAGGGATCTCCCGTACTGCCTTGCCATCTATTGATATGGCGATAGGTTCTTCATTGGCAAGGATGTCCGTGGGAGTGGACAACATCGAGTCCTCTGACTGAAATCCGATGCCTGATTTGCGAGTTAGAATTATATCAGCGGGAATGAGATAAAAGCTTACCATTTGGCTCAACGATGGCAAATTGACCAGCAATGAGAAGCTGAAGGCCTTTGTAGTCGACTGTTGTCTCCACCTCGATTGGGCGAGCTGAGGTGATAGCCTCGCCCAGTAGGTAGAAATTTTTGGCAATCATTGTGAAATGGAGGTGAAAATAATAACCTATTCTTCCTCTCTTGAAGGGCCAGCTCACATTTATAACAATCTAATTATCTAGGCCATTTGAAACTGCATAGTTGACTCCACTATTCATGAAAGCGCGTCCCGATTCTTTTTCATTTCATAATAGAAGATGAGTATCTCTGAGAGCCTCGGTTTAAAATATTTCTCTTAGTTAGGATCCAGAGAAGATCCACCTCAGATTGCAGAAATAGTAGAGTGGACGTTGTTTCGGCCTCTCCGTGGCTGACGGCATGGCGCAAATGTCCCGTCTCAGACCCACCGAGAAGATAGTGTTTTTTTTTTCCTTCGAGATACCGAGGCATTTTGAATTCCTGCTTGCTAATAGGTCAGTTTTATGTATACATTGGAAGTACTGAGTGGGTTATTGCGATAATTGCGATAATTTCATATTCCAGTACTTTTCGCGATATTAAATTAAGTCTCCGTCCTTTTGGATTTTTCCAAATCATTCATTCAAAATGTCTTTTCCAGAAACAAAAGAACTGAAGGCTCAGTGGAAGGCAGATGTCGAGCTGCCAGAGTATACATTGAAAGATGTGGCAGCACATAACACCAAGGGTGATATCTGGATGATCATTCACGGACAAGGTAATAATCCTTTAAGAGAATCATGAAGACGTCACTAACATTGTAACAGTCTTTGATCTCACAGAATATCTGCAAGATCACCCTGGTGGCGCAGACGCTCTCATCGAGGTAGCCGGCACAGATGCCACAGCAGCCTATGAGGATGTTGGGCATTCTGAAGACGCCCGCGAGATCATGCAGCCATTCCTGGTGGGGACTTTGAAGAATGCCCATCAGTACGTCCGGCCGAAGGCAGTTCGCGTGGTCTCCCAAAAAGCACCTGAAAAAGCCCGTTCCTCATCATCAACCATCAAAACGATCGCCTATACTCTGGGTGGACTGATCCCAGTCTTTTACATTTTCAGCGCAAACAACAATCTCACAAACAGCCTGAGAGTCATCTCCCAACTGATCCCTGACCCACTGAAGAACCTACGACTGCCTCATGGAGGCTTCATCAACGGCTTTTTGGCTGCTTCTGCTATCTCCACAGCTGTGGGAGTAATGGTAGCCCGACAGGCGGGCAGATTCACCAAGATCGACTCTGGGTTCATGCGCTTCCCACCTCACATGAAGTCAAAGAAACTGATTCGTGTCAATCCGCATCTAACACGCGGTTTCCTCGAACCGCAACAATATCGACACTTGCCACTCGTTGAAAAGACCGAACTAGCCACAAATGTCTACCGGTTCGTCTTTGCCTTGCCAACCGCCACGGGTGTGTTAGGTCTTCCCATTGGCCAACACGTTGCCATCAGAGCCATTGTCGATGGAACCACCGTCACTCGCTCATACACTCCTACCTCAAACAACATCGACCGGGGCCGTATTGAACTCGTGATCAAATGCTATCCCGACGGCCTATTAAGCGGGAAATATCTAGCCGGCTTGACTGTGGGCGATGAAGTCGAATTCCGCGGTCCCAAGGGGTCTATGCGTTACACAAAAGGGCTTTGCCGCAAGATTGGTATGGTGGCTGGCGGCACAGGCATCACACCCATGTACCAGCTTATCCGGGCAATATGTGAGAGCGACACCGACATGACCGAAGTTAGTCTGGTGTACGCGAACCGCAGCGAGTCTGACATTCTCTTGCGCGAGGAGCTTGAACGATTCGCACGCCAATACCCGAAGAACTTCAAGCTGTGGTATATGCTGGATACTGCGCCGGAGGGCTGGACCTATGGATCTGGGTACGTGGACCAGACGGTTCTGGCGGAGCAGCTCCCTACGCCATCGCCAGACACTAAGGTGATGATATGTGGGCCGCCCGGAATGGTCAATGCCACTAAGAAGAATTTGGTTGCGCTAGGCTTTGCCAAGCCAGGAGTGGTCGCAAAGATGACGGATCAGATCTTTTGTTTCTAGAAACTTGCCTAATATAGTAATAGCCGAGGTTTGAATGGAGAATTAAAGTTGGGTTTAGTTTTGTTGAGTTGATGGGATCGGCCATATTACCGAATTCGTCGTGTCCAACACCGAAATGAAGAAGGTCAACTCCGAGAGACTCCACTCCCCGAATTGCTGATCCCGAGACTTTGACTGGTTGGAGCTTATATAGGGAAAAGAACGCAGATTCAGGGGGATATATGTACCCTGCATAATAGTATAAATCAATGTACACAAAATTATATCTGGATAGTCTGGATAGAGTTGACAAACAGAGTCCCGAATTATGCACAACACATTACAGCGCCAACTGGCCGTTGCAAACTAGCCAAGATATGCAGGCTGCCATGGGATAACTATATGTAATTAACCATGCTCCAATTTCCTCCTAGATTCCTTGTGTCCTCCAGATTGTCATTTATTATTCCCTTTGTTATATGGGGACCCTCTGCCTACGCTGGCTCTTATGGGCTTCGGGGTGATGGCGGTCGAGAGGGTTGGTGAGAGGAAGAAAAGAAAAGGAAGAGTGGCGGGCGAGGGGGGGGGGGGGGGGGGGGGGGGTTTATACCCATGTACCTTCCAAGAATAGACGGCCCTCCAATGCACCTTCCCTGCTCATCCTACATGTTATTGCACTTTCCCTTGATAATATTTATTTACATTCCCTTCAGGTAGGAGTACGCACCTACTTAAAGTGGATGCTTTGTCTCCCTTCAAAGGACTCGGGCACGACCGGATTCTACATGTCATGGGATCTAGTACATATGGACACAGATTATGGCTTCGGTTAGTGATATAGTGGAATCAAAATTTCCATCAGATTTATCACTTCAATCATATTTTGTAATTGACAAATTCAATGAGCCGTGGCTCTCGAATTAAAACACTGATCGGCTCTTTCGGCCTTTCGAAAGACTTAAGCGTCAGGTGGTGACGCCCTATCACGCCCTGGGCTGTCCGACCACATGCAAATGCGCTGTCATTAGTCTCTTACTTAGTGTAAAGAAGGAAACGCAGCTTCAGAGTGTCAACCGTGCTTCGTTCTCTTTTATATGATAGCACCTCGAGCAATCGATCGAACGAAATGGAAGGTATTGTAAAGATTGTGCGTCATATTTGTCAACAGTAAGCACAGGATGCTTCCAAGGTTACTATCGTGACTGTTATGTAACGTACGTATGTATACTCTCAAAACATATTCCACGGGCTATAAAGGCTTTAGAATACATATGAAACAAGTTTTCTCCACTTTATAATATCATGTAGGCAGATCCGGAACAGGAATATTTCGACGCATATATATGGAGGTTTAGTACATACAGTCGTTAGACCTAGAGATCCTCCCATTTCTTTCTGGTCGAGGACTCAATATCTGCCACATCAGGCAGACCCGGAACAGCAGTTCAGCGCAATCAGTCAAATTGCTTTCAATTACGAAAGCTACAAGTCCTTTAGTTAATTTTGTTTTCATATCATCCCTACAATCCATATGTCTTATTGAACAAAATGGAGGCTCTGTTGTTGACCGCAATTTATGCTCATATCTCATAAGATGGAAACCGGTAGTCTAAAGAAGTCGGTTTTCGATGGTACGTTCCTAATAATCAGAAAATTTCCACCTGCCCAACGCGGTCCTTGTGTTTTATGTACATATTGTTGCTTCAAGAGATTCTATAGGGTGCTTCTTCGGCATATCCTGATTTGTCACCTGTGTCTTCTTAGCCATTTGGATGATATATTAGTGAAGAAACATACGTTCAAAAGTCAACCAATGATTTATCGAGTATAACGTAAAAGCTCTGTATCTGCGTCTCTGCTAGCACCTCGCCGGGTGGCCAGGGAAAGGTTCCCAGGCGTTCTTACCACGAATCATCCCTACTTCCTATTCAACCTTTTATACCACTTTGACAAAGTACGAGTATTTAGTAGATCTATATATCTATAAAACGCTCGGGACGGGGAGCAGTTCGCCGGGGCGGGGAACCCAGGCTAGCCGAGACGGCAAGCGGATCGATGACGCCCCGAGTGACTCGGGCAAACCTCGGTAAAATATCAAACGCCAAGTACCGAGTATGTTGTATATAAAGTTGAGGTAGAGATAAAACTGCCATTCAACTTTTCTTCACAACACAATCTTCCACGCTCCTCATCATGTCTCTCAAATTAACTCTCGAAGAAACCGCTGCCGGCTGGATCTCGGATCTAGAAAGCCGTTCGCTAGACAATGTCGTATCGCGGTGGACTGATGACATCCATTACACTCTCCACCCAGATGTTGAGGGGGTTTTCCCAATGACTAGGGAACAGTAAGTTGTAGGCGCACTGAAAAAAAAAATGGTTATACTAACACTAGTTCCAGATTCCGAACATACGATAGAGCCGCAGGCTTCTTCAAGCTTTTGAAATGGTTCAAGATTAGCATCAACGAGATGTTCACAGATGAAGAGAAAAGGACAGTCACGATGCTTTGCAGCAGCAAGGGCGAATTAGAAGCCGGTCCATATGGTACTGACTATGTCTTCGTGCTTACCATGACAGAGGATGGAACAAAGATCAAGAAGCTGTCGGAGTGGCCGGACTTTCACAAAGTGCAGACGGTACTCAGCAAAACCCTGGCCTAACTAGAGTACTGTTGGCATCTGATTTTTGGGCTGGGTGTTGCTTGTTTATGGGGGGTGAAGGCTTCTCCTTCCTCCGTCTCTGTTTGAAGGTTCTCTCCTTCAATTCTCTGTTAGTTTGCAATACTGATCGTCTTAACCACACTTCCTGGTTTCCGATCGTCGATTGGGTCTGGAATTCTTCTTTCTGAGACTCCATTGGATAATCTTTTGATAGTTATTTGATGACCTCGTTGACTGGTTAGAGCCTATCTACCTAGAGGTAGGTAGAAATAGATTCAGGGGGATATGTACTCCGTATAATGGTATAGATTAATGTACATAAAGACCATGTCTGGATAGATGGGAAAGTCAAAATGGATAGATATAACCTGCCTCTCTCAAATTCCAAACTCCCATCTTGGATTAGAGACACCCCATCAATGCATATCAATCTTCGCGCCGTTTGTATTTGCTTCGACGCCTATGTCTCCGGCGCTTCTTCACCCTCGGCGGTTTCTCCCGTTCTCGAATCATGAAGCGAACTGGTTGTCCCAATCTTCCTTCTCTTGTCTGGAGCCCAGTCCGCAAGCTCATTTCCGTTGTTATTCTCACAAGAGGTGTAATAATCGGCTTGGCGTCCTTCGAGCTTGAGTATTGAGGGAAATATCGAGGAAGATCAGGCGATATGGTAACAGACTTTTTTTTCCTCGCCGGTTTATCGTCAGTGGGAGTTGGGTCTGGAGGTGCCGGGTCTGAAGCTGCGGGATCTTTCGGGTCAAGTGGAAGTTTCCCCGATCGTGGAATTGACATCCCCCACTGCAAGCGACATATATATAGATAGTATAGGAGCAGTAGAAAGACCACAATTCCGAGAATAGACCCCGCTATTGCGCCTTTCTTTCCGTCTGAGAGTTCTCTGCTTTGGACCGGATGGGGTTTCTCAGGCGCAGGAGTTGGTCCTGCATCGATGACCCGAATGACAGTCGTGTATGGATTCGCCGCTGTGTATGTAACCAAGTTCAAGGTTGGCCATGGCTTGGTATTCTCCAGAGTAACGACATTCACAAAAGTGGTGCCGTCCTCGATAAGTGTCCGGGTGACCTCGCGGATCGCAGGTGCCATTGCCCGCAGACATTGCTCGCGATCACAAATTGAACTGGCATGATGGGCACTGGCTTAAGTGTCCATGGCAGCTTCACTTATTTCGCTCGCGCCACTAACACGTAGTGTATGCACGAGCGGATCAAACGGGTCTTCTAATTTATGTGATAAAGCAATCGAATTGGTGACATTCGTATCTTCTGACTTAATTATGCAGCTTACGCTGCACAATCACAGGAATATCAAGGCGATTGGTGGAATGGTCTGCACGCTATCAATGTGAGGCCAGTTAACTGGATCTTGGCGCGGGGATTCTTTGAGCACGGAATGAAGACGAACACCAGTTTGGGTTCTTTTCCCGCAAATACTAACAGGGGTCCTCATGTTGCCTGATTTTTTTACCAAGGTGTCGACCCTCGGATGTTCGTTAGACAGGCATGCAGCTTTATCTCGAATCAATTGCTGCCCAAGAAGAATGGGGCACATGTGTATGGTCGCCTCGCCCTGTACGAAATGTCCGGGGCACAACTCTCTCATTGGATAATATTTGCCCAGTAATTTAGTCATCCCCAAAGTAAATCACCTGGTTCTTTCTCGATGGTCCCCTATGCAGGAGAAACTATCACCTCAGCAGGATCTTGCCATGCAATAGATAAAGTTGCATTCTACCTCTAGCCCTCAATTAGAACATCGGTCTGCCATCCAGAGTCGTTTTAAACCTCCCGGTTCTTAGAATATGCGGTCTGCTTGGACACTTTCCCTTGAATAGCGTTACTGATGCGACGCGAGAGTCCTTGATCCAGCGTCATGTCAAAGATTAAAAACCAAACAGATTTCTATCCTCTCTGTACCCTATGTCCTGAAGCGCTGGAAGCACAAACTTCTGGATCATAGTCGGTGGCCCACAAAGCAGCGCAACATTCCCCTCTTCAGGCCCAAAGAAATACCTTTGAGGAATCTCCTTTGTCACATGTCCCTTCTCTCCCTTCCAATTATCATCTGGGTGCGAGAGAACATGCGTGATCTGTAACTGGTCCGAATGGTTGTTCGCAAGTTTATCCAAGTCTTCCCTCAACAGGATATCACCTTCGGTTTTGTTCGCATCGATGACCTTGAGGTTGGTCATGTCCTCGCTCTCACCTTGACTTTTGGCGCGCAAGATTCGTGAGATAAGCTGGTAGCCGGGGGTGATACCGGATCCTCCGAGAACAAGGCTTACATTGTAGAAATGGTATTCTTTGTCGTCGATCTTAAACTTGCCTTGGCCGATGTACTTGATTTCGCCGATGGGTCTTTTGACGTCAATCTCCTCGCCAGAATGCAGACAGTCAAGGATATTGCTCATCGTTCTTCCCGGCTGGGATTGATCCGGGGCATATGTTTTGACGACAAGGTCGAAAGTGCCATCTTCTTCTTTTCCGAAGACAGGGCGTGTGGGCGTGTATGGCCGGACGACGAGCCGGTCCTTGAAATGGAAGCCTAATTTAAGATGCTGGCAGGTTCCGAGGCCGAGCCTCCTCGATTCTAGTGGTAGTGAGAACGTGTATCGATGAGTGTCTTCCGAGAGCTGCTCCTTTTCCTTGAAGCGAACGACATTCCAACGGCGATGCTCCAAGATGATGTCCGAGTGCTTTTTTGAAGAACGGGCCTTTTCTTTGGCCACAGCTTCGACCTGCTTCTTGATGAATCCCATCGCCTTTTCGGTGACTTCACCAAGAACTCATTCTGTAACCAGTTAGTCAACGCCTGACACAATAAAACATAAGGCGTGATACCATACCGCTCAGTTTTTGCTGCGCATAGTCATCATGGATGCTCTCGAACTCATCTGTGGTATCGGCATGCACACTATCCGCATGTGCCATAATTGGTGCCTTGCCGCCAGGATGCCAGTCAAGCACGCTCGTCGCATCGTATACCTTGCCATTAATGACAACCCAGCAGTCATTTTCCTTGTTATGCTTTTCAATTTCCTCACGTGTGAATTGCTTTTGCGGTGATGTCACCTCATGCTTGATATTCTCTACGTAGTTCTCTGTCGAAGCCTGCATCCACCCACCAGTTCCTGTGCCAGGCTCGCACGGGTGTCGAAATAAAAGCACAGAGTATTCGTTTTTACTATCCTCCCGGATCTCTGGGAGCACAGTATACCAGCAATTGTTCATCATGCTATTGTTGATCAGCCAATCTTCTTGCAATGTCGAAGCTACGTCGACTTACCCCATAATGTTCCATGAAGGCGTTTCTGGTTGTGTGTTCTTGAAGACATTGAAGCAGCGGACGGTGATGCTCTTCGCTCGAACAAGATGCGGCAATCCCACATCCACGTACCAATGAAGCCAGGTCCAGAACTTCTTTCCATGGCGGATGGGGTATTCAGGAAACTACTCACTACGCCTCAGCAGTCCGGTACGATACTAGCACTAGCGAGCGGATTGGCTCACCTTGCGGATACAGTACAACCAGGTTTCTCCACCGTCCAGGCTGACTTCCACCCTCTGGACTTCATGACCGCCGCCATCGTATGCTATTCCTGCAATCCGTTAAGTCTTATTTTTGTTCACCTCAGACAAGCGAATCCTCTCGCCTTGCCCAGGCTTCACAATGATCGAGTTCAGATTCTGTTCATTACAGGCGGTGCTCGGGTGACTGAATATGGTGCGAGAGAACTCCGAGTCCATATCCCGAATAAAGCCAGGCAGTACCCGGTTGTCCCAAATATGGTAACGGCTATCATTCTCCTTGTCAGAGACGTAGACTTTGTGAAGCCATTTGACACAACGACCACCAACGTAACCAGGGATTATCAAGCGCACTGGATAACCGTGGTCTGATAGCAGCCGCATATTGTTCATTTCATAGGCCAAGATCACGTCGTTCTCAGAGTCCATGGCATATGCCAATGGTATTGATGTCGCATACTTGCCTTCGCTGAGCTCATCCGCGCCTTCAAAATTGACCCAACGCCGACCTTTTCCGAGACAAGGATCAGGGACCCGGACGCCTGCGGCAAGAAGTACGTCCCGTTGGAGCGGCCCTTTCCAAAATGCGCAGCTAATGGGTCCAGCACCCCAATTGAAACCCTTCGAGCGTCTAATCATGTTCAGCTCTTTCCGCTGGTTGCCGTCACAGGCCAAAGCCACTGCAATGTTGATAGCTTCAAAATCGTTTGCAAGGTTATCCATCGATATGACCAGTTTCCGTTTCCCGTTCTCGACATGAAGCTTGTGGGTCTCCCACAGTAGATGGGGCACAGCGCCATGGTTGCGAACGAAATGTAGTTGATTTGGGGTGATGAGGCCCGCTCCATAGAGGGCTTGCAATTCAGGCTCGCCATTGAGCGGATGCTTGCCCGTTAGGCGGATGAGGCAGGAAGATCGCGGGATCCAGTTATCGGGAGTGAATTGGTCGGCCTCGTCAATGGACAAGCCCTGCTCTTTTGTTAAATTGAGAGGAGACTTGACCTTGCCATCGTTCCTTCCAACGTCTTCATGTACTTCCTCTCCGTTCGTAGTAGGCGCAGCAACGATACCTCCTGTGGTGAATACTTATTTTGCAGATCTTTATTTTCGGCATCTTTTCTTCTCTGGCTGTCATCATCAGGACTTTTCTGACCAGTGTGGCATGTACTTTATTGTGCGTCTCATTCTCGCCGCGACCCAGTCGCCACTCATCTTCGTTCTGTCGCTTATGGTTCTCTTCTTCCTTGTGTATCTCGTTCGCCTTCTCTTCTTCCTTCTGTCTACGTCTCTCCAATTTGACAGGCCAGTCCTGTTTGTATTTGATGAAGTCTTCCATCGTGTGAAGCACGTAGCGCCAGCCCTGGGGATGATTTTGAGGGAACCTTAAATGATAGTCCTAGAAGTAGCGAAGTCAGTCAACGAGAGAGAAAATGGCAAAGAAATAAAGGAGCCTAGCACATACCTCTTGCTTGGTCATGAACTCGCGGATACTGATTAGGTCGTGCTCTCCCAGCGTCTTATTCAGCTCAGCCTCTTCTTTCTTCGACTGGACTAAGAACTCCCGCTCCTCCTGTTCTGTCGTCCACTCGTCCCCAACATGCGTGCACCCCGGATGTCAATCATTGCGATCGCGAAATCCGATCCGATGGTTATGAGTATTAATCCAGTCTGGTTCGTTTTGTATCTCGTCCTTACAGGAGCCACTATGATTCTGATTCGGACGTGTGTAGTGCATGGCTGCCCTAGTGGAACCCGGGCGACTACCTTTGAAATGCAGGAAGATGGTTCACAACAATCGCCAGTCTCAAGCAAATGACCAGGTACTTCGTATTATTATGGATTAAGAACACACACTCATTCCTTGCTTCTAGCTGCGGATAAACTCCCACCTAATGCGACAAACACCCCAGGAAATGCTCGGTCAACATACGTCATTATTCCCTTTACGCATTATCTCCCTAAAGGATCTCAAATATTCTCCCTTATACCGTCTCCTTTGTTGAAACTCGGCGCTTAAAGGCTCTACTATCACCGTGATTAACCTACTCCCAACCTAGCTCCGCAAGGGAAAACTACTAAGTATGATACTTAACCGACGGACCAGCTCAATATCTAGTATATCTATATATATTTCACACTTCGGAGAAGGACGGGTACCTAACCGGTGATTATATCGATACACCAGCCTCGGCTCTTGAACCTCCAGAGCTCACTCATATGTAGTATCAGAGATATGTACATGTAGCATTTAACGCTAATAAATTTACAGCTTCGCGCGCGCAGGAGCAAAATTCGATCCAGTGCCCTGGCTAATAGCCTCAACAATGGCATCAACACTATCCAAAATCCACGTATTCCCCTCATCACTAGCCAACCACCGCGCAGCCTCTTCCCCCTCCGCATCATTCACCCACGAACCATCCTCAATCGCCTTCCGCAACCCAAACACATGCGAGATAACCTGGGGCCCAACGCCAGACTGAGCGCGCAAGCACGCGACAGCAACAATAGACGTCAGAATGCGCCCGGCAGACGCGCCAGTGCTACGCTCCGGATCAGACAACAGGGCGCCGTAGTTGCTGTGCAGGATGTGCACCGGTAGGTCGGGGTGTGAGTCGGCCAGTTTATTGTATAGCTTCTTCTCGAATGGTCGATAGATGGAATTCCAGAGCGTGTGGCCGCGCTCACTAATTGCGGCTATGTTCTCCGGGGTTGGTGCGCGGGTGGGGGTGCGGGAGAGCTGGTCGCCGACTGAGTCTGGGAGGCTGGCTTTGAAGGCGTTGAGGCAGTTTATGGTGCGTGGGATGCCGTTGAAGCTGATGCATTTAAGTCCGACCTCGCGCATGAGCTCGGCGGTCTCGACTTGCTTGTCGTTGTTGGTGCTGGCTAGTTCGTAGAGGGCGGCGAGGGATTCCGGGGAGTTCATGGTCATTGTTGCTGCGGTCTGACATTGATGTTAGATCGCGTTCAATTTTAACTAAAGGGTTTGACGCACTGATAGTGCGACCCATGATGGCTGCGAGATCTGTTTGGATTGCGCCGTCTGTTGGATCTTTTGGTAGACCGAGGTTATGTTTGCTGGCGCGGGGACGGTGGATGGCCGGGCGGCAGGGGCATTGATTAATGCCTTGAGGCTAGGTGAAAGTCGAGACATGTTGGATGAAGAGCTCTGCCCTGGGTGTGGATGTTTTGCCATTAAAGATTGTTGACAATTCTCGTTCCCGGTCTCGGGAGATTTGGGACTAACCGGGGCTCAGAAGTGAGGACCGAAAATACCGGGAGGGGCGGTAATATGACAGTAATATGGCCAAAGTATTCCCGTAATATTACTGGTGGAGTACACGTGAAAATCCGGGGATCGCGGGGAAATAGAGCACCCGGACGCGAGCTCATGGGAGCTCTGCCATTGGTCTAAACCTGCGGCTGGAGAGGAGCTCGGGCCCAGAAATGCCAGCCGAAGGGGGTTCTCTCTGCTTGTTTGTGGATTTGTTCCAATACTTCCTCTTCTTTCCCATCCCATGCTGCGACAGATAGGAGAATCAAATCAGTCCCTGCAACAACTACATAAGTCACCATGGACTCACACTCACCCAAGTTAAAAGCGTCAGAGCTCGAAGAGGCAAGGTCCTCTCCCCTTGATCAACATGGCGACCTCGCACATCAGCAGAAATTGACACGGAAGGTGTTGTGGAAGTTGGATATACAGTCAGTTCAAGCACTACACTACAATCACCACGCGCTTGCTAATGCCTTCCAGTATTCTTCCCATACTAGCACTACTTTTCCTCATGTCATTTCTGGACAGGACCAATGTCGGCAACGCGAAGATTCTCGGTTTAGAAGCGGACCTTTCTATCACAGACCATCAGTATGATATCGGCCTGGCTGTGTTTTATCTCACCTACATTTGCAGGTGCGTTGTGTATCATTGGATGAAAAGGCCAAACGCTAATTGATATGAAAGCGAACTGCCGAGTAATCTCGTGCTCAAGAAAGCATCACCGAAGATTTGGCTGCCGTTCTTGACGGCTATTTGGGGCATCATTACCATGTGTCTAGGATTTGTACAAAATTTTGCTGGATTTGTCGCCGTCCGGGCTTTGTTGGGTATTGCGGAGGGAGGTCTTCTTCCCGGCATGGTATGTTTGCAAGGGAACTGACACTGATCATAACTAACAGAGAAAAAAGGTTTTGTATCTATCTTCTTTCTACAGACGAGGGGATTTGGCACTGCGGATTGGCTTGTTCTACACAGCTGCTTCCCTGTCGGGCGCATTTGGAGGTATGTATGTATCGGTTTCATTTTTCGGCAGATGCTAACAAACTAGGACTTCTCGCTCGTGGACTAGCGGAAATCGGGCCTCGGGGAGGCATAGAAGGTTGGCGCTGGATTTTGATTATCGAGGGACTTTTGGTACGTGAAGATGATTAATGAAACAAAGAGTCTATCTGACTGTCAATCAGACATTTGTTTGTGGAGTGTTTAGCTTCTTCTTCCTTCCGAATAGCTTGGAGTCTGCATCTTTTTTGACTACAGAAGAAAAGGAATTCGGGGGGAAGCGGCTGAGGCTTGATAGTCCCGGGTCACTAGAAGGGTAAGCTTTTCCGACCCGCGGGATAAAAGCTTGGCTAACGCAAAATAGGGCGCCTCAGGCAGAATCGTTCAAGTGGTCCGAAGTACGCCGAGGCGTGCTGGATCTCCAAGTGTGGCTCTCTGCCTCGGCGTATTTTGCGATTCTCGCTGGACTATACTCTTTTGGCTTGTTTGTATGGCTCCCCTATTTCCATCTCCATTTCAAAGTCACTGACGGTTTCTAGCTGCCAACAATTATCAAAAACCTCAATTTCGCCAAAGATGCCAACGAGGTTCAGTTGTGGTCTGTGATACCTTATGCTGTCGCAGCAGTACTTACAGGTCCGTCTCTTCTTTGATCAATCTCATCATATGCTCACTCATTTTTAGTCGTTATCGCCGTCATCTCTGATCGTCTCCGTCTTCGAGGCGTGGTAATGCTCTTCACTCTCCCAATCGCTATTGTTGGATATGCAGCCATCGCCAATATTGACTCCCCTCGTGTCCAATATGGCATGACCTTCCTCATGGCAACTGGCCAATATGCCAGTGTACCATGCATCCTGGTGTGGTTGTCAAATAACTCTGCGGGACATTACAAAAGAGCCACTACATCAGCGTTGCAGCTGGCAATTGCAAATGCCGGAGGATTTGTTTCGAGTAAGTTTCCCACATACGGATTCTTGTTTTTTACGCAGATCTCTAACATTACTGCCATAGCTTTCAACTATCCATCTCGAGATGGACCCCTCTTCCATCGTGGACACACCATTATCCTTGGGCTATTGGTGTTTGCATGGTTTATGTGAGTATATCTCTTATTACTGGCTGAAGGGCAATCATTGATTTACATAGGATTCTGCTTAATGTGCTCTACTGCGCAAAGATCAATCGAGACAAAAGGAATGGTAAGTATGATCAATACGCAGGGTATAATGACGACCGTAACCCGGAGTTTATGATGGTTTTATGAGTGATGACCAAGACATCTAGTAGACATAATTGGCCTGCTCTATAAATACACTAATTTCGGTTTCTCGTTGGTAATCATAGCAAGCCTATTAGTTAATTTTTTTACATTTAATATTATTCGCACAAATCGTGTTGTAGCTACCAAACCCACCAGTTCTGAGACTTCCAGTCTTGCTTAGTTGCACCACGCAAATCATCTGTATTGATCACATCCACGCCCTCGCGCACAAGTACACTCCAAACATGGTTCCGTAGTCCCACCGGCCAGGTGGGAGTTCCCCAATATCGTACCTTCAGCCCCAATTCATGAGCTGCATGTACTTGACTCCGAATCGTAGCGATCTGAGCATCCGACAGACGGCCAAGAGAGAGAGACCCGATAGCCGTGCGGAAGTCTGCTGATGCATAATAGCTGTTGGATGGGTTATAGGTGGAATCCACTGGTTTGCTGTCGTCTGCCGCTATCTCGGTCGGAAATGTCAAGTTGTCAAGAGGTGCATCATAGAAGATTTCGCGGTAGTTTGAGTTCTCCAACATCAGGTTAAAAGGGGCATCTCCGCTGGCGACGATAGTAATTGGGCCGTATACAACATCAGAGCCATTGGAGTGGGTCAAGTAGCCCTTTTCACGAAACGGACTCAGCTGTTCGACAAGTAGAGGCCAGAGCTCCTCGCCGTCGGTTTTGAAATCAATCATCAAAGCCAGAGTCTGCTTTGGGTCGTTGGAAAACACCCCGATCATTTCCTGGTTTATGACTTTCGGCCAGTGGCGAGAAGGAGGCTCATTGTGTGTGTCGAGCATCTTTAGCAGGGGGTCAAAATAGAGGCTCTGCAATGTTCCCCGGAGGGCTGTTTGGCGTGAATGGCCAACTAGAATGTCATTTCCCCATGGCCAGACGTCGACCTCGATGCTGGTGCATCCTGCACGAAGTGCCGAGCGTAGTGGAACACGACGCCAGTAGTCGTTGTGCGAGTGGCATGGTACGGGGGTGACACCATGGGTAAACCAGTTGGAGAACCTAGAGGAATGTTCCCCAGGGAAAATACCCAACGCGCGATCATGTCGAAAGACATAACCAAGGTATTGCGATGCCATGGTGAGGAGATTGAGGATGCCACTATGGGACATTGTTAGTTCATCACATGTCAAGTGTGGAGAACACCAAAAGCCAAGAAATCAGACTGGAGTGTTAAACTACAGGTACACACAGAATAAAAATTAGTGCCCAGAGAGGTCGTTGCACTATTCGGCAGTATAGGGCTCTCTTGGCGTATGGGTATGCAATGCAGTCCGGGTGAGAGCATTTCCAAATTGAGAAAGAGGATTTGGTCTTGTGGTTCAATATCACTTCGTAGTCGGAGACTAAAATAATTGCTTCATTCTCTGGGATTGGCGTCAGAGCAGATGGATGAAATGCCATGGTGAAATGGAAAGAAAACGGAATTTTTTTTTCCAAGGGCTGGGCAAGGTAAGCTTAATTTATCGGGTGAGCTTGTTTTTTGGGGCCGAAAACCCCTACGAAAAGAAAGAAAAAAAAATCTGTCTGCCTAATTATATGGGGTCATTTGGAAGTAATAAGTAAAGACAAAATAGACGAGGGATTTTACCGGCTATTTATAGAGAAACAAAAGAAAACAAAGTTCTTTGTTCAACTCTTACCATCTTCGGGGTATATACGTCGATCCTTCTTTATTCCATAATGTCAAGGGTATCGGCAATATTAAACTTAGCATCCGTCTTCATTTTCACCTCTTCCACCTCAACACCCGGAGCAAGTTCCGTCAGTGTGAGCTCTCCGGTTGCCCGATCCACCTGGAAGACACACTGTACTGGTGTCAGTTTTGTTTCAATTAACCAGGCTCTTCGCACTTACCAGGTCTGTAATGATAGTGCTGACAACATTAGCGCCAGTCAACGGCAGACTACACTTTTGTACAATCTTGGGAGATCCATCCTTGGCGACATGGCTCGTGGCCACCACGATCTTGGTCTTGTCCGGGTTCGAGATCAAGTCCATTGCTCCTCCCATACCCTTGAATACCTTCCCGGGGATCATGTAATTGGCCAGATCGCCGTTGGCACTCACTTGTAGAGCGCCGAGAATAGACACATCTACATGACCTCCGCGGATCATGCCAAAGGATTCAGTGCTGTCGAATGTGGCGGCTCCAGGTACCAATGTCACGGTTTCCTTTCCGGCATTGATGATATCGCTGGTCTGCGTTAGCGACGGTTCAGGTTATCACAACTGGTAACAACTTACGGATCCAATTCCTGCTCAGTGGGATAATCACCCTAAATCTTGTTAGACCAGCCCATGGAAAAGATCTAGAAAACTTACCATTCCCAAGATACCATTCTCCGACTGAATCCAGACCTTCACATCTTTCGGCAAGAACGACGGTGCCAATGTGGGAATACCAACGCCCAGATTCACATAGAATCCCGGCTTGAGCTCCTTGGCCGCCCGACGACCAATAATTTCTCTTTGGATCTGAGCTGCATCTTTAGTAGACTCAGTGGCAGTGGCCCCGGAGCGCAACTTCCTGTTTTCAATGTGCTTGTTGTCCGTGGCAGGAACGATCCGATCCACAAAAATACCCGGGAGGTCCACATCATTGGGATCAATGGAGCCAACTGGGACAATGTTCTCCGCCTCCACAATGGTCAGGGTGGCCGCCTTGGCCATGATAGGGCCAAATGCTTTGGTGGTATATCTGACCGATGTCAGTGTCCAGATTCTGGGACATACTGGTAGGTACTTACCGGAACACGCAGTTGCCAGCCTCATCCACTTTCCAGGCTCTGAGAATAGCTACATCTCCGGTCAAGGCTTCTTCCATAAGGTATGTCTTGCCGTTGAATTCTCGGGTCTCGCGCGGCTTGCCAGTCTCCAGAACTTTACCCGACTCATCCATGCGAACGGGTATTTTTCCCTCCTGGATAAAGGTGTCTTCACTTGTCAGCGGTGGACGTAGTCTGGGGAGAATTTATACATACGGGCTCCTGTTGGGGTAAAGAAAGCCGGAATCCCAGCACCTCCAGCACGAAGACGTTCAGCCAACGTACCTTGCGGACAAAGTTCAATGGCAATATGTCCCGTCAAATACTTCTTCTCTAACGCTTTATTGTTCCCGAGGTATGAAAGGATCAGACGGTTGATCTGGCCATTCTGCGAGAGTGTCGAAAGGCCTCCCTTGCCCGCGGAGCCGGCATTATTCGAAATTGCCGTCAGGGAGTGTAATTGATCAGCGCCTCGGCGGTGCATAGCATTAATAAGTGTCTCTATACTGTGTATCAGCTCTGTTATTCGCGCCGTTTACCCGTCCACGTACCTGCAACTCCGCAAAGACCGAACCCAGAGCTAAGGATTGTCGATCCGCTCTTGATGTCGGCGACAGCGGCATCGGCATCTTTGAATAGCTTTGAGCCGCCGCGCTCAATTTTAGGGGCGAGAGATCGTAATGGCGCGGTTATGGAGTATCTAGTGCTGGCGCTGGTACCGAATGGTTTCGAGGGATGCACGCTGGCGCGGACTCCGAGGAAGAGCCGAGGTCGACAGGCAGTGAGCGCCTTGCGCGACAAAGTCGTAGAAATTCTTAGGCTTGCCATGTTTCCTAATTGTTTAGATCTGGAAGAAAACTAAAAAAAAAAAAAAACTGAAATCATCGCGCAGTTAAAACATTGATGGCATCGGCTAGTCGGGGCTACTTCTGGATGCCGAGCGGCCACATTCGGAAACCCTCCGAGCTCAACGTGATCTGCTTCTGATCTTCTACATACTCTGCTATGGATTTCAGATTAAATTTCACGGCTTCGCAATAAAAACTGGAGCCCTCTAAGTCTTGGTCTTATTGAAAGAAAAATTTTAGAGAACAGCAACCACCTCGTATAAACCCTCAAATAGAACACCAAACATTACAAAAGAAACCTTAATCAACCCATCAACTGCTTCTTAAACCGACTCAACTTCCCTTTGATACTCCCACGTTTTCTTCGACCATCACTTCGCTCTATCAAAGTATCTGCATCAGAAACCATCGAAGATCTAGGCGTATCGCCGCCTCCCTTAGACCTCTCCGGTTTCGACTCGAGCTCTTTTGATTGGTTTCTAGGAAGCAATGTAACTTCCGACGCCGTATCATCACCATTCTGGAGTTTCTTTTCGGCTTCTCTTTGCTCTGCTTGCTCGCGGCGTATACGCTCGCGTCCGCGTCGGGCAGCAGCTTCAATTCCCCTTTCGCCGAGCATGGCAGTTCCAGCTGGGCCGGGAGCTAGGGCGCTCCAGTCGAGGACCATGGTTGTGTTTTCTTTGGGGTGGTTTGGGCGTTTGTGTTTTTCAACTGTGGTTTATATGCTAATTGATCACTGTGGGGTTTGTGTATGAAAGAAATATTGATGTTGTTGAAGACGTGAGTCTCTGATATGCTTCGGAGAAGGGGCTTCACGGGGGATGACGTTGCACAAGATGGCCCCCAATGCTAGTAGGATGATCTGCGTGACTATCTTGTACGTTATGTAGTTTTTGGCCCCGGGTCTTTGCGAATTATATCTCGACGTTTGCTTGTAGTGTTACTGTGGGGATGCATTGGGGCCTGTGACGCAGGGATCTGCATGAATCTTGGAGCAATCAGTTCCTTGCATTTGATATGCTAGATGAAAGGGTATGGAGATAATTCTTGGCGATACATGCAAGCTAATAATAAGGATATGTTCAAACGAGGTGTGATAGAATAAATACAGGAAAAATAAACATTGGGGTATGCAAATATTCGCCTTCTGGTCCTACTAAAAATTGAAATCTGGGTTGGCAAAGTCAAGCCAATCCCAATTAAGCATGTCATCAAGAGGTACATCCGGGATTGATGCACCAAACGCGGTGCCTGCCCGGTTGACTGCATCGACAATCTGATTATCAGACATGGCAGAGAATTGCAATGGCTCAGACCAGAGATCCTCGGGTGGTAGTGTTGCGGGCAGCGCACCATGATCCAGATATGCAGATGGAAACACCGGCTCGGGTGGATCGACTTTGGCTGGATTTCCTCGGGATTGCAAAGGCAAGGCCGGTGCACGCCGGATCAACTCACGCAAGAATCTCCCGTAAAGCACAGAGCCGCCGCCTCGATGACTTGGTGTTGCTCCGATTCTCTCTAGGACACCGGCGGTCTCTTCGATGAGATTTCGGACGCTTGGTGCCAGACTTGATCTGCTGTCGCCAGGTGTTACGCTGAGGCTGAGAGCAGAGCATGCGGCAAAGGAGATCATTATGACGGTATTGTTTGGCATTGATTTCAGTCGAGATTCGCCCTGTATGGCGGCTCGCAGAACGTTCAATGCAGACGATAGACCAGCGGCTCGAAAGAAACGTTTAACTTCAATTGGAGCTGTTGGGTGATTGATGACACCACCGTATGTGGACAACTGAGTATGCGTGACAAGAATCTCGACATACGGGGGTAGAGAGCGTGCTATAAATAGTTAGTACTTAGTCAATCAATTTGAGATATTAGGCTTACTGTCTCCTTCCCCAATTGACAAGGCCCATGTTGCATACCACTGCTCGTAGAAGGTTTGAATAGTGTTCTTAATCCTGTGATATCGTCAGTACATAAATGACAATCATCGAAGGCGTGATATCATACAACTGAGCAGCTTCCGAGCCGGTATCGACGATGTGATAACTATCACAACTTGATTTAACTTTCTGAAACAGACCATCCTGAAACCGTTAGAATGAAACTGGATAGCATGATATGGGTGTGTGGGTAGGTATTTGTAATAGAACTTGGGATGGCACCTACAAGGTCCCTTCGAAGAACCGCCATGGAATTCATAGGACCATCGCGCGGGTCTGCAGTGTTGGACATGTGCCAACGATCGCAGTTTTCGATGAGCGTTGTTGGAGGGACCGTATAACTTCGTCCACGCGCAAGACAAACACTGATAGAGTTAGTGTCAGATCCAGATATACTACTGGAAGAATCAAACGTACCCCCTTTCAACAACATACAACGCAATCCAAGCTCTTTCGCGTCTTCGTAACAGCCTAAGGCCCCACTCTGAAGACGGATCAATATCATCAAATCCATCCATGTGTAAAGCCCTCTTGGCATCGATACACTCTGCTCGTGCCAGCCGGTTCATGAGCTCTTGGTCAAAGCTTGATGAGGGCGAGACAATCTTGTTCAAAGATAAATCTAGAGCAACAGTGAGAGCCATGGCAATATAGGAGCAAGTATCATCGTCTCCTAGTCTATCACCGGGAGACATCCATGGTACGTTCACCATAAAAGCCAGAACAATCTCAACAGACCTATGGCGGTGTGTGAACACTCGCCTCGCGAGCCATTTGCAATGCCTGGATAGTCTCTTGGATAAAGCAGCAGCAGATGGCAAAAATAGGGCTGCGCCTGCCATGATTGAAGTGAAAAGAAAAGCCGATTGGGACCGTACAAAGGACGGGGTATGTATCAAAGGATCGAGGCCCCATCTGGTATGTGCGAGATTTTGGTAGAAGCTTGATCTGTCAGTTATATATACCCAGGCTATGTATCACTTGGCCGCATAAACGGCCAAATATTCTTGTCTAACAATAAACGCATACCACTTACAATGAGAACAAGGACTCCGATTCATCAAATGTGACCAAACCCAGCTCAACAGGGTCAACTTCAGGTCCAACATCCAAATTTGCTCTTGTAGGAACAAAAAAGGACTTGGCACTCGGTTCTCCTAGCGGGCTGCTCTGAAGGAAGGATGGACCCTCTGACGATGACATTGGAGGCCTTGGCGCACGCCGTACCCCAGTCGGCGAAAGCTGAAGATCCGAAGCTCTAGCCAGCAGCTGGAGAGGGTTTTCTGCATCGACAAGAGCAAGGCTCTCCTCCGCATGAGTATCGCGTGGAGAGGTCATGCGCGGATAATCCGGTGCCTCTGAAAAACCATTCTCGTGCTCATGCTCATTCTGCTTCAACTGGCCTTGGACTTGGCCGAGAAGATCCTGTAGGACTGATATAGCCCTTTGGGCATCATCGTCACTGGAAGAGTCGACCTTGGGCCGCTTGATTGCCTGCTCGATCTGATGTATCGCTTTCTCCAGACCCTTGCGTTTACTAGACTCTATTCAGAATTTTATTCCACGCCGATTTGATTTGACTTACTTTTTAACGCCCTTTTGTCGGCCCAGATGGTGGTTGGGCACAATACACTCTGCACTGGTCTGCTTACATTTCTCGCAGCTGCGCTCGCCTGCCAGGCGGTTGCAGCGAATCTTGCTCCGCCGGCAGTTCAAGCATGCAGCTTGTTTTCCCTGTGGACTGGAGGCTGGACCCGACTCGACCTCCATGGGTAAAGTGGTTTGACCTAGGTCATGGACATTGTGGAGATGCGGTATGGGACAATCAGCAAGTGGTATTTTTGGCTTATATAGCATTTTATGGCTCCTCTCTCCAACAGCCCAGCCGGGCTAGCTCAATCGGTAGAGCGTAAGACTCTTAATCTTAAGGCTGCGGGTTCGACCCCCGCGTTCGGCTATTCCTAAAAACCAAACCTGAGATTTCTTTTTTGCTCTTATAATTTCTTTTCATTTGTCTATGAAAGCGATGATAAATATTAATTAGTTACCTGTTTTTTTGAAGCTTTAGTGCAACAATATATGTAAATGGTTACTGCCAGCGAGTAGTACGTAATGTAAACGCCACATCTGGGTGTTTATAGTTGCTTATATATTTTAACAATGTGTTGTCTTATTTTACAATCCGATTATATATTTTCCTCTTCGATTTGAAGTTGCAAAGTGCAAAGTGACAAACACAAGAATTCAGCTGCTGAATCTGACCAGGTCACTTTCTCTAGAGTTATCATGGCTGCAAAATCAATGTTCGATCAGTATCGTAGCGGGAATCGAGGCGCTCTTCCTCCAGCTCTTTGAGACGCCACATCCATGGATGTCAATTTTTGAGTATTTAAGATAGTCGCCAAGTAACTATTGTGGGCTTTGCTTATCTTATTCGATTTGGCATGAGATGATATTACAATAGTTGTAGAGTATTTCTGATTTAAATGACAATTTTTGCAGTGGTCATGTAGTATAAAGCAACGAAAGAGTGGTATATATAGATTAAAGATGAGTAGCTGGCTAAATACAACCTCCAAAACAACAAGGCCGTAGGACTTTTTGTGACTTATTAATGGACAGTGAATATAGATCCGAATCCAACATAGCAAACAACCACATGAACCATCAATCAAGCATAGCGAACAGGGCCAGTCTCCTCGCCATGACCTGCCTGCACAGCACCAGATACCTGCGGAGCAGGTAAAGGCTGAGCTAACCCAGGAGTCTGAGACATCTCAGCAGCAGTGGGATCCAACAAGCGCGGACCAGACTCTGTGGGCCTCTTGCTTGCCCTAACAAGTGCAGGCGCGGGGCCCAAGACAGTCGGGTACTTGAAGCGGAAGCCCCAGACGAAGTACAAGCGGATCTTTGTCCAGAAACCCATGGCGTCCCATCTCTGCTTGAGGATCTCGGCGTCCTCTCTGCTGCGGGCGCGGTAGCCCTTGCGGAAACAACACAGGAAGAAGAGAGAAAAGGGGAGGAAAATGAAAGCCCAGAAAAGAGGAAGACCACGGCGGGTTTGCCAGCCTGTCATGAGGCGACGGAATCGTACCCAGGCCTCGATCATGCCGAAGATGAAAACAAGGCCGATCCAGCCCAGCACGCAGATCAATGTAATGGCGAGGTAGGAGATGCCGATGCCGGACCAGCGTGCGCTGGTGAACCAGTTGCCGTCGTCGTAGTAGTCGTAGTAGTTAGAACCACTGTAGTCTGAATTGGTGTAGCCAGACTCCGAGGCGGTTTCGCCAGTGTTGTAATCGTCGGAGTAGCCGTAATGAGAGGTGAAGCCTGTATACTCGCATCCGGCACCTGAGTAGACAGAGGTAGGGGTGTTATAGAGCTTCAGAGAGTTGAGAGAAATCTTGGGGAGTTGGGTGGGTTCCACGAAGACTATCTCAATGATGTAGGTGGTGGGCTGGAATGCCTGGCTGTTGTCAACGGAAGTCGAGGTTTCTACATTATCTCTGGGTAGCAAGGTCGCGATCTCATAGGGAGGGACGATCGTGACACCGGTCGTGGTGGTCCATTGAGTAGAGCAGGCTGTCGGGGCCGAGTAAGTCAGGTTGACCATGTACATGGTGCTAAGATAGTTTCCGTCGCCATCCACGCCATTACTGTAGTCATCGTATAAGCCGTGCTCCTTGCCATATCCCGTGGGATACAGCTTTTGGACAATGGTGTAGTCATAGACGGTATCTGTGGAAGTAATGGTGGACAGGGCCTCGGATGGTAATGTTGCAGTTGGAGAGATTTGCTGGACCACAGTGGTCACCTCATCATAGTAATTTGTTGTAGGTTTTTGCTCATAGACATCTGTCACAATCCAAGGGGCAGCCTGAACGAATGGGCTCAAAACGAATGACAAGAAAAGAATAAACGAGTGTGAAGGCGCCATCTTGAATGGTCCTGAAGGGTTGTAGGAAAAACAACCAGAAAGGGATCCATGGCTTTATTTAAAAAAGCTAGATAGCGCCTCATGTTGGAAGACCCTTTATTTTTGGCCCATTTGGGGGCTATTTATCGCCTAAGCTATACCGGTTCACATCTAGGTGGAAATTGCTGCATTAGAGTAGGCAGATGCTCTCATGTGATTGGTAATGTCTCGTAATTTACCAGAGTTAAGTGGAGGGTCTAGTCTAGTTACGATCTAGTCATGAACCCTAGTACTTTCGCCTCATATTCTTTTTACCGAACTGGTCTTTTCTTAGATTTTTCTAGGCTACTGTACGGCGATGACTCAAAATATGAACTAGCTTCATGAAAAAAAAAATCTTCGAATACGCCTAGTCACGTACAAAACAGCGCAGAAAGAACATTTGAAATACAAGCGTAACTTCGTGGATCGTCAGTGTGGCAAGGTTCAGAGATCGCGAGGAATCTATATGGGGGATTGACAGTCCCGAGTAACCAGGAGAGGAGCACAAGGAAAAGAGAGAGTATAAGTCTGCTCAATTAGCAGCTCGTAAAGCCCGTAGCCTTGCACCCAAACCATCTTCAGCCTCGGCATCCACCTGCTTAGGCTCCTTGACCTCCTCTTTAGGTGCAGCATCCGCTTCGAGGTTCCGGCGCATATCAACACCCGCATCATCGGCCAGTTGTTCCATAAGCCGATCAACGTCGGCCTCACCCTCCGCGCCATATTCCTGCATCGATATACCCTGTGCGACATCCTCGATCGCACTACTAGCGATCTTAAAGTCCTCCGACCGGGCGAGGAAGTTGTTAGCGTGGGAGACGAGGTGTTCGAGGTTGACGCTCCGTGAGGCAGCATCTAGGCCCCGTGATGCCATCGCGAGCGTCCGGGATGTGTCGCGGGTGCTTTGGGCAGCCTTAAGTTCGTTGATGATGACGTCTGCGCGTGCCGCTTCGGATTTGAGTGTTACTTGGCGTCGCTTCTCGCGCACGGCGGAGGCGGCGTGAATGCGGGCGATTTGGAACTCGCGGTTTTTCATCGCTTTGTCCGCTTTGGCCTTTTCGGATTTAAAGGTCGCCTCTGCTCGGACGGCTTCTTTCTTGAGTCTGTTGGAGTGTAACTGGGAGATAAGATTAGCAATGGTCTCATGCAGCGGGGGTGATGCACGCTGTGAGGAGGGGAAATAAGTGCGGGGAGACATACTTTGACATTTGTACGGGCTTCGAAGATAGGGTCTTTGCGAACCATGATGTCGGTTAAAGATGTTATAGAGGATGAGGATTGCAGGTGTTGTGGAAGGCAGATGGATTTGGGGGCGCGTGGCAACGTCACTGACCGCATTCATTCCATTCTTGGCGTCTGTTTATTTTAGCATCAGGGACAAGCCTAGATTTGACAATGCCGAGTATTTCCAAATGGGTTTAATGGTAAATGATACGGAATACGGCGAATTAAAAGATTACTATTACGTTTTCGAAGTAATTGCAAGATGAGCCAGTCGATTTTGCATTATAAAAACTATGTAGTATACAGGCCAAAAAAAATGGAACCCTCAGCGCTGTTTGCCCATGAGCAAAGATGAAAGAGCTTTGCTCGCGCTTGAACTCCGAAAACTCCGTGTACCTCGATGCACCTTTCCATTACTGCGTTGCCGACCGGATTTCATAGTGTTTCCCCGCTGGTGTCGTTTAGACAGGCTGAGACTATCGATTGCCCAAGCCATGGTTAATAACGACTCCCAACTCGGTCGAGCCTCCGAGGCGCCAGCCGACCAGGTCTGCGGGGAGAAAGTCTCACTAACCGCTAGCTGCAATGCTCTGCCCGTCGCATCTCGAAGTGGACGCGCCAAGGCTGGGCTGCAAGCTAGTAGTCTGGTGAGAAGTCTCATCCGAAAGACCGGACGATTGGACGCCGTCGAGGACGACAGATTCGGGGTCGAAATCAACCATAGAATCAAAGGGAAATGCTGATAGATCTCCTCCGTCGAGAACGTCAAAGGCAAACCCGTCTTCAGGGAAAGAAGAATTTGGCTCAACGGGTGAATCACCGTGGAACAGGCGGCGGAAGTCATCGTCAGAAAGAGGAGCTGCAACGTCATTTGCAGTCTGAGGTTCATCGGAGAGGTCGAAGAGGGGTAGGGCGCTTCCAGATCCTTCGAGGCCGGCGACGGACACTGCAGGTCACATTCACACAACACCGCTGCAGGATGTTGTGTCACGTCGGAGGCCTCAGCCAGAGTGGAAGGCTTGAGGGTGGGAGAGTAGTCGGTAACGGATGGAGTGGGAAAAGGGATCCGTTCCATGGGGAGTTCGTCGCCTTCTTGTTTGAAGAGGGTAGGCGTGAGGGTGGGAGATTCGATGGCGGGAGAGCTGGCTTTGGGAGTCACGCTGCGAGATCCACGGACCTCGGCGGAGAGCTTGGCCACTTGCTGGCTCAGGCGGTTGTTCTCTGACTCCATCTGTGATAGACGCTGGATCAGGAACTGATTTTGTTGTTCCATTCGGATCTTTTCGGTCTCGAGCTTCTCCATTTCGAGACGCTTGCGCTCGCGTGATGTCTGAGCAGCAGCGCGGTTTCGAAGGACCCGTTCGATCCGACGCTGCTCCTTTTCATCATCTGTCTTGGCGCGTTTTCTAGAAGAGTTAGCGGGGTTCAACGTTTATGAATACGATAGACAACATACCTAGGAGGAAGGTTTGTTTTGGGGGTTGGGAGTTCCTGTCCCCAAGACTTTCTCTTCTTTGTTGGCTTCTTCTCATCATCTTCATCTTTAATATCATCTTCCGGCTCCGGAGAGTCTAATGATGTATCCGCGGGGGAAACTGTGTACATGTCTGGGGATGGCGAGGCTGGGAGGGTATCCAACGGGTTGATAGTATCCGCCATGGTGACAGGGTCAAATGGATAACCGGTGCCGGACGTGAGTAACAATTGTAATATAGACTTATGATGACTTAGGTGAAAAGAGGTTCAAATCACAGAGGCCACGTTATCATCACGATCGGCACCGGAGACCAGAGACTCCGGAGAAGATTGAGTCAGAGGGTGAGTCAGCGAAAAAAAAAAGAGAGAGAAAGAATGGAAAGGACAGCTGTTCAACTGCAAACAGATGGGGAGAGATGAGGTTTAAGTAGAGGCCACGGTGGTCTGAAAGGGATGGGCCTAGGGGAATGGAACAAAGGGGGGGAACCTTGGAACCTGGGACACGTACGTCAGGTACATGCCTCACCATACAATTTACCATGTGCCACCGAGTACCTCAAAGGGGCTGAGTTCTTGTAACGAGTCTTGTAAATTACGTTAATTTCCCCCTGCATTCCATGGTTCGGCCCCCCTTCAACAACCAATTATGATTTGTTGCTTGAAACATCGCATCCCACCTGGGTATTTGCTCACTCTATTGCCTCCAAATGTCTCTTTCTATAATTGGGATATGGGCCCCAATACAGTTGCATTGGAGGACGGACTACTCCGTCTGTATTATCTGCATATTCAGCTTCTGATATCTCGGGTAGTACGACACATCCAGTAACTCCGACTCGATTCATCCAAATCATACAATGTAAATGATATATAACGGAGAGTCTCGAACAGTCTACTTCATAGAGTGGATCTGGTATTGATACGTTCTCTCCTGAATCTGAGGCGATTAGGACGGAGGATTACCCGGAGAATGCTCCGTTAAAACGCCAATCAGTCAAGGGCTGCCCCGCCCCGTTAATTCTCCGTGGCCCCTGAGTCTGATAATGTCACTGTGTGATTATGTACTCCGTACTCGCATGGGCAAGGAGGTTAGTGTGCCATTTAGATTGGCGGAGATCATCGTGGGGATGTTACAGAACCACTTCGAACACGGCGGAATCATGAAGTCTAAGTTGAGGGGGCTGAAACAGGGCGTTAGGGTTGACCTCGGTTTATAGAACTCCTACCATTTGCTGCATATGGATCATGAAGGTTTCCTGTGAAAAAGATAACGATATATGTCTACCTCAAATTCAATACACTAAATTTAGTGATCGGTATTGACATCCCATTTTGGAAACCTTCGACACCAGGGGAATTATATGCAGTCCCTCAAACAAAAGAAAAAACGCCATCCCATAGAAACGTGCTCATGACAAGATCGTAAGCGAACATGTGCGGGGCTATGATCAATTGACCTCATCTACATGGTGACATCCATCGTGTCATCGCCAGCATCCATGGCATTCTGGGCCTCCGGGTCGGGGACCACTACACCACGTCCTCGGCCAGCAAGCAGTTCGCGTCGCACTTCAGGTCCAATGTCCTTGTGTCCACGGACGAGAAGCAAATCGAGAAGCGCTTCACGCTGGTCCTCAGTGATATCGTTACGATAACGCTGGGCAAAGACCAGAAGGGACTGGTGCCAGAGAACGGGCAGCTTGTATGCCTTGGAACCGAGCCCGGAGGGTCCGTCGTTCATGGCATCATCCGAAGGATCGACGGCGCGGAAGCGCATGAAGTGGAATACCAGGGCGTCAATGACCTTGTACGGTAGGGCATACTTCTTCTCCAGGAAGACGCGGATGAACATGTTGACAGCACCGGTGCTTTCAATGGAGGTCAATGACTGTTCCGCGGCCAGATCACACATGCGAAGCAGGGCGGCTGCGGAGTGCAGCACGGGAACGGAGACACGGGCAACCACAGAAGAGACAATGTGGGCTTCACGCAGGGTGCAGGTGCCGGTGGACACCAGCGGGAACAAAAGTCCCTTGAAGAAGCATGCGGGCTTGTACAGGGCCTTGCGCAACGCATTGTAGGTGTGGATGTTCAACTTCTTGGTTTCGTGGATTTCGTTGCGGACGCGCTCCAAAAGCACAATGTTGATGAACTCCTGGGCAACTGCAGGCTTGGACGAAATGAAAATACGGGTTACGGCGTAGACGGCGTTTCCGGTCCATGACTCGGGGCGAGTGATATCCAAAATGGTCTGCCAGTTCGGTACAGCGGGAAGGATCTTGATGGGCTTGGGGAGGGGGCCAGACTTGTAGCGAGAAAGAATCATGCCGACCCTAGAACAAGTTAGCTTGGGCTCACAAGGAACTGTCGCAAAACATACTTCTCATATACTTCCACGGCCTTGGCAGGAATCTGGACAGCATCCTCGGGTATACCACCACCTTGGATGTATGGACCATAGGGACCCTCACCAGCCTGCTTCGCCTCGTGCTCGGCAATCTTCTCGAGAATCAAATCGGCGAGGTTGGTGGGGCCAGCGGAGCTGGGATCCTTGGGGTGGAATATAGGGTCCTCCTCGTGAGGCATGAATTTGTTGAACATATCTAGATCATTGGGGTCGACCTCCTTTGTAAAATGTTAGAAGCAATATCATTATGCTGAAATTCGGGAGACTTACAACTTGCTCGACTTCATCATCAACCCAATCGTCGGCCTCGAACTTTCCCTCGTCGTCGGAGAAAGTCTCCTCATCCTCGAATCGGGTATCGAATTCAAATGCATTCGATTGGGGCCGTGCTGAGTTCTTGAGTTCCTCGGCGGCATCCTCGTCGGCCAATTCCTGTCCAATCTGTAGAATCTTGCGCGACATCTTCGCATCGACATAACGCTGTCCATTTTCGCCATCCTCATCGTTCTCGTCGGCTTTGCCTTTGCCCTTCTTGCTACTCTGTGTCCGAAGGTGCCCCGCGGAAGTAATATCTTCAGCGAGAGGGTTGTGTCTGCGTGCCGCGGCAGCAGCGCGGGAGCTTGATACTTTCGGCATGGCTGGTAATTCTTCAGATAAACCGAAGAAACTGAAATGAGTAGTTTGGGCTGGCCTATCGAAGTACACACGACGATCAAATTGTGTGGTCATATTTTTTTTCTGCCAGGCGGTGCCCCCCAATCTCATCACCGCCTGTAACCACACCGCCCTAGCCTCTTCACTCATTTTCTGCAAATAAACACTGACCGCCTCCGTTTCCCAAGGAGATTCTTGTCCAGCGCGCATGCGATTGAGTCTTTCAAAGGGAAATTTGCTGCCTATCAATGAATATAGGAGCCATCGGAATACTATAATACTTCATTTGGGGAAGCTTCAGGCTGCCAAATCTCCGGATCTTTCGCGTATATACACGCCGGAACAGCTTGACAGCATACAGACAAGCTTAAATTGAGTAAGGACTTCTAACTCTACAAAAACAAAGTGCTGCGGAGCTATACTCATTGGATTCTATCTTGTTCAAATAGCTGACTTTCTCCAGATCGACAGACTGATCGACAGACCACAACCCCAGCGGACAATCATAGCCTCCATCATGGCATCCGGCCAAGCCCCCGGATCTTCCGCTCCGTCGTCCAACATTAACTCCCCGATCCTACCTCCCAATGGTGGACCTCTTCTCAATGCGCAATTTATCGACTTGAATCCACGATCTTCTCCCGCCCCGTCCGCCCAAGGCGATGGTCGAGCCAAGCGCAACAAGCGAGATAGTCGCAAGAAGCGTGAAGCCAAAGGACTAGACCCCGAGAACGCACCACCACCGAAAAAGCGAGCCACAGCTGCACCGAGCCACGCCCTGCCCAGCTCAAAACTGAGTATTCTTCGTCCATTGTTGCTCGCCGAGCCGCACGCCTCGGATCGGTACCCTCCACAACCTCGCCAATTGAATCGCGTGAGCCGAAAGACGTCGGATGTTTTGGGTCAGAGCTGGGATTTTTACGAGGTTGTCGATAAACTCACCAACAAGAATGGATTTCGTTACAGCTACGCCATTGCAGACCCCGGATTCCCTCATATCAAATATCGACAGACCGATGTTCGCCCGTACCATACCCGCTTCAGTTTCGAGGATTCACCAGCTGCCATATCGTTTTCAGAGAGCGCGACTGCGGTGACTACCAGCGATGCATGGCATACTGCCCGCGCCAATGTATGTGCTCGAGAGGGCACGTATTATTACGAAGCGCGTGTGATTAGTGGCATAGTCAATGATCCCCATGCACCCCAGAACGGCAGACCGACAACTTCACCCCGTGGCCATGTCCGTATCGGATTCGCCCGACGTGAGGCTGACCTCGACGTAAATGTGGGAGTGGATTGCTACGGGTACGGGATTCGAGATGTGAACGGCGAAGTCGTCAATCGCATGCGATGCGAGTTCTTCTTTCCCAAGGGGGAAGCCATCAAAGAAGGCGATGTTATCGGCATGCTCATCACTCTTCCCCCTCTTTCTCTTCACAAGAAAATTGTCGAGGGCACTTACGATCCCGCCGACATCACCCCATCACAACCGGTAGCAACCAATATCATCCGAGATCGGATTCCCTTCCACTATAAATCGGATTTCTGTTGGCAGCAATCCAACGTATTTTCTACGAAACACCTCCGTGACTACGCTTTCAACCTCAAGGAAACACCGACGTTTGGTCCCCCATCACCTTTCAACAGCGAAGACGCCACACTTCGAACCCTCCCGGGATCTAGTATTACCATTCTAAAGAACGGGGTAAAAATGGGCACCCCCTTCAAGGAACTTTACGCCTTCCTCCCGCCCGCAAGTCGTCTCGCCAATGGAACAAACAATCTTGGTATTGGCGAGCGTGAAAATGCCGACGACGGCTTGATCGGTTATTATCCTGCTGTGAGTTGCTACGGCGGCGGTGCCGTCGAATGCCGATTCGAGGGGCCATGGTGGGTTGGGCCACCCGAGCAGACTGAAACTGGAGAGCCAGTCCGGGCCATGGGCGAACGATTCAACGATCAGATTGCCGAAGACGTGTTGGCCGATATTGTGGATGAGGTAGAGGCCATGTTCACATGGGGCGGCATTGATGGCGATGTCATCAACAACAATACCGAACTCGATGGAGCTGGAGCTGGAGTTGTGGGAGGGGCAGAGGTGTTGAAGGGTGGTGTCGGTGCGGCGCTTGACTCTACCCTTGCCCATACGCCTGGAACCGCTGGGGCGTCTGATTCCGCTGCTAATAGCAATCGTGCGACACCAGCTGCAGGCGATGTTGGGAACCACAGCCTTGAAGACGCGGTGAGCGTCGGTACAGCTGGCACTCCCAACGTTGAAGTGCAGGGTGATGGGGATGTCGAGATGACTTAAAACGGGAAATGAAATGGGCGTTTGGCTTTCGCAATAGCATTGATACCAATTCTGATTTCAAAATCTATTCACATAATATACATTTCATATAGTAGTCGTAGAGGTATGGGTCTAACCCAAATGCCTTCCCTCCAACATCTCTCCTACTTTCATGACCAATTGATCGTCTCCATATTGACCGATGACCTGGATTCCTGCCAGTTCGGCATCTTTCTCCCCAGACACTGTCACGGGGACTGAAATTGCAGGTAGGCCAGCCAGACTGGCGGGAACAGTGAATACGTCGGTGACATACGCATCCAAGGGTGATTTCTTGGTAGATTTGCTCATCAAGTCCGACAGTCGTGGTGGGGATGAGGGAGCAGTAGGACATATGATGACATCTACGTCATTTTCGTTTGCAATTTTGTCTGCGCCCTGCAAAGCGAGCGGATGCTTGGCTGTAAAGACAGCATTAAAGTCTTGCTGGACTAGACGACGCACACGTTGTGCCTGGATGAAATAGTTGTCAATGGCATCGGCACTCAAAGTGAATGTGCCTAGCACAATTCGTCTCTTCACTTCTTGTCCAAACCCTTCTCCTCGGGTATTTGAGAATAGATATCCATCGGGCTTTCCGTCGCCATCTGGGCCTTCGGCGCGAGTCCCGTATCGTACTCCGTCGTATTTGGCCAGGTTTGAAGATGCCTCGGCAGGGCCCACGACGTAATAGGTAGATAATGCGTGTTTTGTGTCGGGCAGAGAGACGGAATGCACGGTGTGTCCTTGTTCCCTTAGGTGTGCCAGAGAAAGAGCCCAAGCTCGCCGGACTGAGGGAGTTAGCTCGGAAACGTTATACTCCATTGGCACGCCAATTCGGAGAGGGGCCGAAGTCAGCCGCGAGGCAAGTTGTGGTGTTTGGAGAGACGCTTGGATTCGAGATCGGGTGGATATTGAGAGGCTGGTAGGATCGCGCTGATCATGTTTGTTGAGGATGCCTAGGCATGCTATTAGCACAGTCGTTATCCAGCCATACTGGTCAAAACCTACCGAAAATATCTCGCACATTGGCAGTGGTTTTCGCGATTATACCCACGGTATCTAAAGAATTGGCGTATGCCACCACGCCCCATCGTGAGATCAATCCGTATGAAGGTTTGAATCCCACTGTCCCGGTGTAAGCAGCTGGAAGTCTGACCGAGCCTCCGGTATCCGTTCCTAGTGAGCTGTCAAAGTCAGCAACCAGTCTCCTTGCTAACCCAACGACCAGCTACTTACGCATAGCATTGATCGGCGGCTACTGAGGCGGCACTTCCACCAGAGCTGCCACCGGCGGAGAGGTCTTCCCCGCTGGAATCGCGACGAGGGTTCTTGACAGGGCCGAAGTGTGAATTAATCGAGTGTGATCCCATCCCAAACTCGTCCAGATTGGTCTTTCCAGCGACAATGGCCCCGGCGGCCTCTAGTTGATCGACAACGGTGGCATTGAACGGGCTCGTAAATTTATCCAGTATTCCCGAAGCGCAGGTCGTCGGAAGGTCGCGCGTGCAGATATTGTCTTTGATGGAGATCAATCGCCCGTCCACTGCGGACTTGGGTTTCCCTGATCATATCGGTTAATTCTGAAGTAGATAGTGGGAGTCTGATATTGCTACCTTGTTCTTTGCGCACATCTGCTTCCTTTACGCGGTCCAACCATGGGCCCACGCGCGACAGCGGGGTTATGAAGGTATTGAAATTATGTGCATATTGATTAGCGACGCATCTCTCAGCTTCGCGCAATAAGGACATTTAGACGAGTGTGGGAAGAGTATAACATGGAAAGGGAGTGGAACGCAAGTTTCCCGGGTCCGTGCTGCTTTCTACGGTATCTGTTTAGGTCTCTGTCACCTTTGAAGATATTTATGGATAGACCTAGGTGTAGATTATATGGCATCGACTTTATAGCCTTAGAGATCGATAGCTATTAGCTTGAATATAAAGATCAATATTGAACAATTCTGTGTAAGTGACCTCGGAGCTATAATGTTAATAGTTCCTTCGGGCCGAGCGAAGACCAAGACGTCATCCGGATTTGCTCGACTTTCTCTTTTCCTCCACTCCCTCATCTACCAGCTATGTTCTCGCGAAGTGTACTACAGACGGCCACCCGAAGTGCTCGCCCGGCCTCGGCTCGAGTACCACAGGTGCTCGGTAAAGCTCCATTCGGTCAGCGATACATTTCGGTCTATGGCTACACACAGGCAAAGGCTCTCATCTACTCCAAATATGGCGAGCCCAAAGATGTCTTGCGGTAAGTTCTCCCAGCTGCAATTGAATAAACCAAAACTGATCAATTTAGCCTACACAAGCACTCAATCTCTGCGCCGCACGCAACCCAAGTGAATCTGCGCCTGTTGACCGCGCCGATGAACCCCGCCGACGTGAACCAGATCCAGGGTGTCTACCCCAGCAAACCTCCCTTTCAAACGGACCTCGGAAACGCGGAGCCCGCTGCAGTCGGCGGTAACGAGGGCGCATTCGAGGTGCTGTCAACCGGTGCGGGCGTCAAGAACCTCAGCAAAGGCGACTGGGTCATTATGAAGCGCACAGGCCTGGGTACCTGGCGTACCCACGCGCAGCTGGACGAATCCCAGTTGATCAAGATTGAGAACAAGGAGGGTCTGACCCCGCTTCAGGTTGGCACTGTTAGCGTGAACCCCGTCACTGCGTACCGTATGCTCCGGGATTTCTGTGAATGGGATTGGATGCGTGCCGGTGAGGAATGGGTGATCCAGAACGGCGCCAACAGTGGTGTCGGGCGAGCAGCTATTCAGCTGGGCCGCGAGTGGGGAATCAAGACGCTCAATGTCGTTCGGCAGCGCAAGACCCCCGAAGAGACCGAGGCTCTCAAGAAGGAGCTCCGGGATCTGGGAGCTACCGTTGTTATCACCGAGGAGGAGATGCTTACTGGAAACTTTCGGGATATGGTCCACGAGTTCACCCGCCAGGGCCGGGAGCCCATTCGTCTGGCGTTGAACTGCGTAGGGGGAAGAATGCCACCGCTCTGGCAAAGACTTTGGCTCCTAATTCGCACATGGTGACCTACGGAGCCATGTCGAAGCAGCCTGTTGCATTGCCCTCGGGCTTGCTGATCTTCAAGAACCTCGCGTTTGACGGGTTCTGGGTTAGCAGGTGGGGTGACAAGAACCCCGAGCTGAAGGAGAGCACCATCAAGGATGTGCTTCAATTGACTCGCTCTGGCAAGTTCCACGATATTCCCGTGGATGAGGTCAAGTGGAATTGGGAGTCCGAGGGGCCGGAGTTGGCAGAGAGCGTGCAGGGCACTTTGGGCGGCTACCGTAGCGGGAAGGGTGTGTTCACCTTCAACGGTGGTGATTAAGTGAACAGCCTATGAATGTATTATAAAGCTAGGCGGTTTCCCCCCGATTTACAATTTTGGTTCAAAAACTAGTAATGAATTGTAACAAAATGATCTGCTAGAAAGTATACTTATTAACACTTCCAGTTCTTCTTCACCCAGTCAAGAATCAGGTTTGTTAGAGACATGTTCGGCATGTACACATCACTTTCCTTTGCAATGTCGACATCGAAACCAGCAAACTTGGCGGCCATTATCACCTTGCTCTCTATGAAGTCGAGGTAGACCATATCCACCGTCTTTGGTGTCTCCAATGCATTGGGAGATATGAGGGTTTGAATACAGTTCGGCACCCGATAAAAGGAGATGGGTGAGTGGATGGTATCGTCACCATCTGTGCCCGCATCATCTTTTGTCGTGTAACCGGGCACGAGGGCCGGGCCGGACATGGGAATTTGCTCGTCAGGCGAAGGCCAGTTTTGGGCAATCACGTCTTCCGGATATGCAAGTTGCTCGACAGGGCCCAAGGTTGTCGGCGATGATTCATCCGTAGATAAAATTTGCGGCTGCTCGTTCAAAACCTCGACAATAAGTTGTGCCTTGTCATATGGAACATCTTTCACATAGCGGAATGTGCTGGTGAATGGTGATATAATAAAAGTCGAGTCTTGGGTAAAAGGCCCCTTGAAGATATCGAACCTCATGGCGCCCGTGTTAACAATGGCTAGCCTAGGCGTGTCCCCACGAGACTCATCCCTCACGTCGCGCAAAACCTCAGTCTCAAGCCAGGTGTAGATGCTGTTGGGGTCCGGATACTTGGCTCGCGACATCCATAAATCACGTGGAGCGCATCCATGGACTTTGTCCAGATGAAGCTCGGACCGTGCTTTGGTGATCAATCGGGAAACATTGAGGCCTTTTTCGGTTGGGAAGGTCTTTTGATCGAGGCCGGTGTGATGATAATAAGACAAGAGATTGTTGTCAATATATCTGCGCTTGAAGACAGGCCCAACGGCGGACTGATGGCTGGCTTTGCTGGCGAGGCCATCGATTGACATGAAGCCAATAGTTTCCATGAATCGGCCACTCGCTAGCCCGAAGGCTTTGGAATCATATTGGGCATAGTCACGCACATGCTGGTGCCCGCCAAAGAATTGAATTGGAGTATCCCAACGAATTCCCCGTATCGCCTTGAAGATCGCCCGGTACTCCGGCGAATGAACAGGCACATGGCCGATCACCAAAAACAGATCCACTTCTTTATCCCGAATGGCTTCTTGGAACCAATCCTCTTTGATAGTAGAAGATACTCTCTGGACCACAGTGTTGTTGTAGTTTCCGTTGAAATCAAAGAGGAAGCCAAACGCTACTATACGGATCCCTTGCTTCTTGGTAGTGAACTTCTTGAACCGCGGAGCCAGAGGTACAAGCTCGTTCGTGGTCGGGTGAATGATATCAATATTCGAAGCTAGGTAGTTGCCCCGGAAATTTGGAACGGTGACGAGAAGCTCAGCCTCGGATGTGTTTTGCTTGTATAGTTCATGGTTTCCCGACGTCAACAGGTCGATGTCCTGGTGCCGGAAGATGTCCGAGAGGTAGATACCCTTGGGCTCGGACGAGTCATATAGGCCATTCCCTTCGACTCGGTCACCAGTATCTATAACGAGTAGATCTTGTCCTTGTGCTTCTGCCTTCTCCCGCATGCGTGTCGCAAATGATACATAGTCTCCCCAGTCTGCGGAGTAGGACGGTCTGCAATTATTAGTACAACTCTAAAGCCAGGCAGGGTCTAAAGCCTACTCCTGCAGATGACCAGCTAACCAGCCATGAGTATCGGTAGTATGGAGGAAATTCAGTTGCCCGAAGTCAAGGACTCGTAGCGGAGCGGAGATAGGATCGGGTGTGGAGGGTTGAGCGGCGAGTACCGACGGAAGTAGCCAGAGCAAGAACAACATCAGTATCGATAATACACCCTTGGAAGAGTGTATAAAAGCATAGATTTACAGTGAGAAACCCCTTGAAAGGACTTGAAATATCTGGAAGGAAACACGTAGTTATAGCTAAAAGTAGAAGAGTTGATACCTCATAAAAAGATATGTTGAACAAACAAACAAGTGATGAAGTGAGCTCTCTCTCCAATTCTGTATGGTTACGGTTACAGTACCGGTGAGCTCTGATATCACGTGTTGCCCAACATCTTCGGATTTGCATCTCAAAGATTATTCGGATGGCGATAAGTTTTCCCTGGCTATTCACTCTTATCTACTCTCCCGTTCTTCTATTCAATTGATTTTGCGGTCCGATTTGGTCTGCGATCGTTAATTGAATCTCTTTTCTTTCTTCGTTTTTCATCTTCTCAATTCGATCACATTTCCGCAATGGCAGCTCCCCGACTTTTCCGCCCAACAGCCCGTCTGTTTTCCTCGCGCCTTGCTTCCACTGCTCTGCGCTCAAACCTCCGCCAGTCCGCCTGTGCTCCTTCAATTCTGCGCCGCGGATATGCCACCGAGGATGGCACCAAGCAGGTCACCGTTCGCGATGCCTTGAACGAGGCCTTGGCCGAGGAGTTGGAACTTAACCAGAAGGTTTTCATTCTCGGTGAGGAAGTTGCACAGTACAACGGAGCGTGAGTAATCCTCGAGTTCCAGTCGAATCGAACCCGAAGCTGAACTTCCGGCTCTACAGATACAAGGTGACGAGGGGTCTGCTCGACCGCTTCGGTCCTAAGCGGGTTATCGATACTCCCATCACAGAGGCTGGCTTCACTGGTATCGCCGTTGGTGCTGCTCTCGCTGGTCTGCACCCCATTGTGAGTATATTCGGAAATGACGTTTGATCTAGGACCGCATGCTAACGGTTCATGTTCTAGGCCGAGTTCATGACCTTCAACTTCGCCATGCAGGCTATCGATCAGATTATTAACTCCGCCGCTAAGACTCACTACATGTCCGGTGGTATCCAGCCTTGCAACATCACTTTCCGCGGCCCCAACGGTTTCGCCTCCGGTGTCGGTGCCCAGCACTCCCAGGATTACTCTGCCTGGTACGGCAGCATTCCCGGTTTGAAGGTTGTCTCCCCCTGGAGCTCCGAGGATGCCAAGGGTCTGCTGAAGGCTGCTATCCGTGACCCCAACCCCGTTGTTGTTCTCGAGAACGAGTAAGATCCCATCAAACTAATTTTGCTGGATTCCGCGTGAACTAACCAATGCTAGGCTCATGTACGGCCAGTCTTTCCCTATGAGCGAGGCTGCCCAGAAGAACGACTTCGTTCTGCCCATCGGTAAGGCCAAGATCGAGCGCCCCGGAAAGGACCTTACCATCGTCTCTGTGTCTCGCTGCGTCGGTCAATCCATGACCGCCGCCGCCGAGCTCAAGCAGAAGTACGGTGTCGATGCTGAGGTTATCAACCTCCGCTCCATTAAGCCCCTCGATGTTGAGACCATCATTGCCTCCCTCAAGAAGACTGGCCGCCTTATGGTCGTTGAGTCTGGCTACCCCATGTTCGGTCTTTCCTCCGAGATCCTGGCTCTGTCCATGGAGTACGGCTTCGATTACCTGACCGCCCCTGCCGTCCGTGTCACCGGTGCTGAGGTTCCTACTCCTTACGCCGCTGGCCTTGAGGCTATGGCCTTCCCCCAGGAGGACACCATTGTCAGCCAGGCCGCCAAGCTTCTGCGCTTGTAAGCCAATGAACGAGGGCGAGTGAGGAGCTCGCAATAATATAGCAATGTGCCTAGTACCCTTTCATCTGTTCCATCTTATGTCGTTGTTTTATTCTGCTTTTGTTATCCAACCGGTTTAGACAGTCTCTTGGAAAGCATGTACCATTACTCCAGATCAGTACCAGTGTAAATGTGCTTAAACGGATTAGATGGAAATTGATTGCTGTCCAGTAATTTTTTAAGAAAGGATACTCCATACCATTCAACGCCATTATGTACATAGTTGATAGTTGATATTTGATTCAATTCGCAAGTCATTTCAGGCATCACGATATCCATCAGACCTTTTGGGTAGCACACCCAGCGTAACAGTCCGTTGGCCGGTGAGGATCATAATGTCCTTCTGGGCCATATTCCTCGTCGGTTTCACTTTCCATATCACCCGATTCAATCTTTCGGGGCCTTCCCACATCTGATGGATCATCATTTTGAGGTATCGGGATATTATCTTCCTCGTCGTCTCCTAGAACGTTTTTCTTGACTGGGGCCGTAGGAACCACTGTTCCCTTGACAGTGGCGAATGAACTTTTGAAACCTCCCTTCTTGAAACCCGTGCCTCCTCCACTGGGTACCACATTGTGTCCAGGAGTCTCGATGACTTTCAGACCGGCCTGCGCATCGGCTTTACGTTCTGCGCGGCGGTTCTTCTCGATGGCATTTGGATCACGTGTTAACTGTTTAAGGTCTTGCAAGCGCTTCCTGTGCTGGTGGTCATATGAGCCGATATGCGCTTCGTATTCCGGATGACGTGAATAAGATTTATTGCAGAGAGTGCAGGTGAAGGAGCTGAGCGCAGACCGCGCTGATTCAGTCTATATGGGTTAGCTTGGCGGTGACAGACATGGCAGATGTGGATTATTACCCTAGGAGCGGGATTTGTAAAACCACGCTATATCTGTTAGCTGATGTGTCAGATCTGGACCAAAAAAAAGAGCATACCGGTGCCATTGTTCTTGAACAGGAGTACAGCGTGAGTTTAGAGAGAGAGCGTTTAGTACGGCGACGCATTGCGACCACCTGCGTATTAATAGCGGGTCCGACGCGTTGCTGCCTGTGAAACAAGGCATATATGTGTTCAAGTAACGTTAACTAGTTAGCTGTCTATTAGTTAGGCTTTTATGCTCAATCTCTGTTCCTAATTATTTTAGCCAAATGGGTCCTATTCCAGGCAAATGAGTAAGACATGCTTTTATATATCCAACTCTTTATAGTATACTCCGTAAGCAAGTCAAACTATGGTAACATTCGATGTATATTGAGTCACCTGACCATGCCCTGCCAAGTGGAGCAGTCGTCATTATCCGTAGAGGAACCGGCCTATCACAGCTGCCGTATTTTCACTCAGCGATCCTCAACCCCAACATTTCCCTGCTTTTTCCCAGTTCGCCTACACAGTATGGATGCATGATTGACGAGTTACTTTCTTACGAATTTCATTTTTGCCCTTCCCCCCCCCCAGCTTGGGAAACCCTAAAACCCCGAATACCATACCCCGAAAACCATACAATGTCGTCGCACGTGCCCTCCAAACCGGAGGACATCGACACCAGATCTATCATCTCCTTGCAAGAATTAGATCCATCGCCTGTTCATGATGGTCCAGATGTGGAAAGCGGCGAATACTTCCCTAGGGCTGCCTCTCCCACGCAACATGGAACTGGAATTTCATTCCCGAAACTAGGGCTTAGTGGGCATCGCTGGGATTCATGGCGTACGTCAAGCAACAAAAGCTGGTTTATATATTCTAACCACAATGATTATTTAGTGACTGGTATTCAAAAATACTCCACCTACCCACCTACGGCTTTCTTCATCTTACATCTCGCCAACACCTCTCTTATTCCGCTCGTGACTCGCTCCGTGCCCGCGAGCGAATCCTACCTTCTGCTCACACGACCCGTATACCAGGCCCCCGGGCTAGAGCACCTTGTCCTAACAATTCCTATAATTGCGCATGTTGCCTCGGGAATTGCTCTCCGCAACATTCGTGCTGCGCGTAGAGCACGTCTGTACGGCGCCGAGACTCGCGCACAGCGAAACGCGTTATATTTCTGGCCGCGCATGTCTTTACAAGCGCGCACTGGATACTTTGTCGCGCCGCTGATTGCATTCCACGTATGGGTCAACCGTGCCACGCCATTGATCGTCGAAGGAGGAAGCTCTGGCGTAGGACTTGGATATATTGCTCATGGCTTTGCTCGGAGTCCTGTGTTCTGGAATGTCTTCTATTTCTTCTTTGTGACTGCCAGTGTGTGGCACTTCATTGGTGGCTGGGCGACCTGGATGGGCTGGAGAGTAACCAGTGCGCGCAAGGAGCGTGGCCAAAAAGGCTCGTTGGATGGTATCCTTGGATTTACTGAAACAAAGACTAAGAGGCAGCGCAAAATGTGGTGGACTGTCAATGGAATTGCCGCCGCTGGCGCAGCTCTCTGGCTTGCAGGTGCTCTTGGTGTTGTTGGACGTGCCGGTGAAGGAGCTGGTTGGGAAGCCAAGGGGTGGAACGAGATGTATAGCCAGGTCCCGATCATTGGGCAGTGGCTATGACAGCTTTTATGGTCGTATATAGTATTTAGACTTAATCCTAATGTATAAAAAGAGCCTGAAGACCATTGTGGAAATTATTCATTCTACATGTAATACAAACATTAAGACTCGTCCTCCGATATCATCACGACAATTGCCGATGGTCTACTAGGGATAACTATAGTTTATAGTCTTCTCTCGTGAGAGTTGGCTCTTCTACGGCCATACATGTATGTGCTTCTATAGTTTTAAATTACAAAACAGGTATTGTTCTGTACTGTAACATGGTCCGTGCATAGAATCTTTTTCTCCGTCGCATTCAACATCTCTTGTGATATGCTGTGAAAGGCTTCGCTCATGAACCCCTCGTTGATTTTTGGTTCAGCAACGAAATGCGCTAAGCGACGACTCATTCCTACCATTATTCTCGCTCAATTCCCCCGCTCAACTTCCACTCCGATCCGATCTCGTGTCCGAATCCTTTCCACTTATAGAACCATGGAGGATCCTCAGATCCAGCTGGTGGAATACCAGGGAGAGAAGTACCATGTTATCAAGGAAGGTTTGGCGAAGATTCTCAACCCGCCTGCCCAAGAGGCCGCTTCCAAGGGAACGAAGAAGGATCTCAAAAGCGACGACCAAGCGCAATCCGTCTTCTACAACCCAATTCAACAATTTAATCGCGACCTCAGTGTGCTAGCCATTCGCGCTCATGGAGAACATATCATCGATTTGAAGAAACAAAAAGCCGCCCAGAAGCTGAAGAAGCAGGCAGGCAATGGGGAAAAGAAACGGAAGCGTGAAGACGACCAGACCGAGAACCCGAGGCCCGCCCCAAACGCAGAACACAAGGAAAACACAGAGACAAACGACCAGCCGGTCTCCGCTCCCCCGGCTGATCAAGAACCTAAGTCAGAAGCCCGACCAGAGCAAGCCACGGGCTCTTTCACCGTTCTTGATGCTCTATCTGCGACTGGACTGCGCGCTCTTCGCTATGCCTCGGAGCTTCCATTTGTCACAAAGGTCGTGGGAAATGACCTGTCAAAGTCGGCAATCAATTCCATGAAGAAAAACATCGAATACAACAATCTTACGACGATTCAACCCAATCTGGCCGATGCTCGAGTTTACATGTATGGGCTTGACGACGCGAGCAAGTTCGACGTCATTGATCTGGATCCATATGGTACAGCAGCTCCATTCCTGGATGCCGCAGTGCAGGCAGCCAAAGACGGTGGCCTTTTGTGTGTTACTTGCACTGATGCCGGTGTCTGGGCCTCGACCGGCTATTCGGAAAAAGCATTCTCTCTGTACGGCGGTATCCCCATGAAAGGCCTCCACTCCCACGAGGGTGGTCTGCGATTGATCTTGAATTCTCTTGCCATGTCCGCAGCTAAGTATGGAGTGGCCATCGAGCCCTTACTGTCTCTGTCTATCGACTTTTACGCTCGCGTCTTTATTCGGGTCCATCGATCTCCCGCACAGGTCAAATTCACCGCGGGCAACACGATGCTCGTCTACAATTGTGATTCCGGCTGTGGTGCATGGACAACGCAGCCCATTGGTGCCACCAGATCTAAAACGGACCGCAAGGGAAACCCCATATACCACCACGGCCTGGCTAAAGGGCCAACAGCCGGACCGCACTGCGAGCATTGTGACTCAAAAACACATCTTGCAGGACCCATGTGGGGTGGTCCGTTACACAATCCTCAATTTATCCAGAAGATTTTGGACATGCTTCCTGGAGCTGATCCCGAAACATATCAGACCTGTGCTCGGATTGAGGGAATGTTGACCACTGCTCTTGAAGAGGATCTGGATTTATCACCATCTAAATCTGAGCCATCTACCCCCAAGCAACCCGAACCAAGCACAAAGAACCAGCATGATCCTGCATACCCTGCCATCATTCCTCGAATGGACGTTGCTGCCAAGGAAAAATACCCTTTCTTCTTCTCAATCAGTGCTCTCGCCAAGGTTATCCACACAACCACCCCTCCAATCGACGAGCTCCGCGGTGCTCTCAGCCATCTCGGATATCGCTCCACTCGTAGCCACGCCAAGCCCAACTCAGTCCGCACCGATGCGCCCTGGGAGGTAGTTTGGGAGGTCATGCGCGAGTGGGCCCGTCAAAGATCACCTATCAAGGAAACTTCCCTGAAGCCCCGAACCGCCGGTGCTGCGATTATGGGCAAGAGCCGTGAGAACCTGCGTAAAGTTGACGACCAAGATCAATGGTTATCGCTTCTCAAAAAGGATCTGACGTCCGCCGTTGAGTCTGGCAAAGATGTCAGTGACTTGATTACTAAGGTTGAAGCTGCTCTCTACCGGTCCGGATCGCGCTCGGGGCAAAGTGCTCCTGCTTCTACAGAGACTCGCCCCAATGCCGATGCCGCTGCCGATACTCAGCCTGTACTGGAAAATGCACCTGCACACCCCTACAGACGGCATCATCCTAGTACCCTTGAGGTGGTCTTTGATGAGGCTCTAGGCCGTCAAGTGTCAGCTGCGCATACCAAGAAACGACTGGTGCGGTACCAGCTCAACCCTCGTGCCAACTGGGGTCCTATCAACCGTGCGGCGCGACGATAATGTTCAAATATCCCTGTTCATACATAGAAAAAGTCCTCTGTACGTTTTATGTCTTGGTTTTATGCTTGTCACCATCTTCGTGTATTGTACATAATAATGTGATAAGCCCGGCATGTTTACTTTGTGCTGTTATTCTTATTCCTAGCAGTATTTCTAAAGCTAATAATACTTTTTATAGCCTATAGCACCGTGAAAATAAATATATATACATATATCAAAAACAAAACATCCGAAAAATACATCAAGTACACATATCCCCAATATCTATCATCTTGACCTCGGGAGCCATATAAATGAAGTCTTACATCTTCAAGAGGGTCACCATGTTATACCTCAATACGATTAATGAATAGTGCTGTGATCGAATAGCTGCCAAAGTAAAACCATATTATTTTTTACAAGGCATAAAAGTGGAAGATAAGAAACTAATATTAGAATGCGAACTGAAACTCATATACATGCACATAAAAACTCCAAGGCTCTGAGACATATCACGTAATGACCCATGAAACGAAAAATGGTCTATCAAAAACACAACATTATAAAGAGGATATCAACAGGAATAGATCGATTATTTGGCAACGTTCTCGTTGCCCTCTTCGTACTTGTCCCAGTTGGCCAAGATAGAGGCAATACGGGGCGAGTTGGTGAGTCTGTAGACGTCCTCGAAGTATTCCTTGGTGATCTCGAAGGGACGGGCAGTGACGTTGGGGATGTACTTGCCGATCAACTTGCTGGGGTCGATGGTGGTCTTGTTGATCTTCTTCAGCAAGAAAGAACGGAAGGGCTTCACACCAGAGCGCAAGAAGGTGCTGTGGAAGGGCACATCAATACCCTTGAGAGGAATGGTGGCGAAACCACGCTCCAGGGCGATGGGACGAGGCTTGGCCTCGGTTTGCTTGACACACTCCTGGATGATGCTGACCAGGTGCTCCTTGACATCCTCCAAAGACATGCTCTCCATAAGAGCGGGAATGTCAATGTTCTGCGCCTTCAAGAAGTTCAGCAGGTTGGTGAGGCAGTCGAGAGCACGAAGGTCACCGGCTGCGACGTATTGCATGTTGGCAACGTTGTAGTTGACAATCTCCAGCAGCCAACCGGTGGTCTCGGAAATGTTCTCAACGACGTACTGCAGTGCCTGCTCGTTGAAAGTCTTGGAGATACGGCTGGGGTTGACAGCGCACATGGAGTAGTTGGAGCGACCCTGCGCATCACGCTCGACGGCGACTTGCATGGTCAGACCGCGGTAGAACACGACAGACACCAAGCTCTCAATAGGCATGACATCAGCCAGAGCGGCCAAAGCCGAGTATTCACCAAGTGAGTGACCAGCGAAGCTGCTGTCGCGCTGCACCAAGCCCTTGGCGCGCATGTCCTCGAAGCTGGCCTTCTCCATCAGGGTCAAGGCTGGCTGGGTGAACTGGGTGGCAGAGAGAAGACCAGTGGGAGACCGGTAGGTGTACGAAGCGGTGGTCTCATCGACCTCCTTGAAGATCTTCTCAGACTTGATGGAACCGTCTGCGTTCACAGACTCGAAGGTCATGGCCATGTAATTCTCCCGGATGGCCTTACCCCGAGGACCGCCGAAGTAGACGGTCAGCTCCTTGGGGTTGTTCTTGACGATGTCAATAATGGAGAGACCGTAGTTCTCCATGAAGTGACGATCAGCGCGGTCCCAGACCTCCTGGGCCACTGGGCTAGAAGCATACAGCTCCATACCCATGCCCTGCTCCTGAGAGCCCTGGCCAGTGAAGACGTAGGAAGTAACTGGCTGCTCAACCTCGGCCTCACCCTGCAGAACCTTCTCTTCTGTCTCCTTGTTGCTGGCCTCAACCTTGATGATCTTGCGACCAGCAATCATGCCGACATGCTGCAGCTTGACAGTGATCATGTCGTTGGGCAGAACCATGCCGACCAGCGAGACTTGGAAGCCACGGACACGGCCAATGTTGTTCTCGGCGGCCCAGGTCTCGACAAGGCTGCGAACAGCGGCACTGCTGTACATGCCATGGGTGATGGTTCCGGGCAAGTTGGCGTAGCTGGAGAAGACACGCGACACGTGGATGGGGTTGTAGTCACCAGACACGCGGGCATAGGTCTCGTTGGAGGCGGGGGCACGCAGCTCCAGAGCGGTCTTGCCACTGAGCGGGATGGGGTTCTCAAAGTAAACTGGCTGCTCAATGGAAGTTCCGTTACGCTGGAGGTAGTCAATCACGGGGTTACCGTGTGAGTCACCTGCCTCGTATTCGACAGACGCAACCTGAATGACCTCCTTGGTGGGGAGTTCAAGAAGAACCTGTCCAACAGTCTGGACGTTGCTGAAGACAGTGGTGTTCTTGAAACGGATCAAGCTCTGCAAGCGGAACGTCAGGGTCTGGCCCAGAAGCTCAGCGTCAGAGTCATCCATGCGGAACCATTCCTTCGAG